AGCACCGATAGATATGGCAGACACCTACACCCTACACCTGACCATATCTATACCTTGCTTATCGATGGACATAGCAACCTTGGAAAGCTCAAAAATACATATGGAGTCAATTCATCTATCCTATTTCTTTCTTTCACTAGACAATAGATCCAAAAATAAAAGAGCAAAAAAGAAATCTCAGGTTTGGTTTTAGGAATAGCCGAACGCGGGGGTCGAACCCGCAGCCTTAAGATTAAGAGTCTTACGCTCTACCGATTGAGCTAGCCCGGCCGGGCTGTTGCAGAAAGTGATAGATCAATGTCTTATAAAGCGATTCACTTCATCCATGGATGGTACGGAGTAGCTCGACAGCATTGAAGTCAGTGTCAAGGTAAGTCGCGGTTCAAAACAATTCTGGTCAGTGTAAAAAGGTGAACACGGAGAATTTTCTCGCTTCTAAGCGTCCGGTATGATAGCTAGTGCTCGGTCGGTCGTTGACTGGGAAGTTGTCACTTAGCAAAGAGTTGCTGCAGTAGATGAAGGAGAGGAGAATGATGAAGAGAAAAAGAGAGAGACGAAGAAAACAGAGAGGTGAAAGGAAGGTAAAGATGAAGAACAATATGCAAGGGAGAAGAGGGGAGAGTAGATGTATACTTCAACGACAGGGATTGGTGGAAAAGCCGGATAAAGGAAACATCTGTATGCACAAAGAAAGCCACATTTGCAAAGTCAAAGATTACAAGCACTTCATATTGACCGATAGATACGTAATTTACCACATAATATGTAGTTTCAGTAGCGCAGATCAATTAAATTCAACTCAGTACCCAGAAGTCAATGCACCAACGCCTAAGGGTGGGGTCTATACTCTGTATCCTCCTAGATGATTCTTACATCAATCCAAAGTCTGAGTCCGGGTCACAGAGTGTACTAGTTAGCATTCCAAGGTTGTTTATATATACAAAAATACCACCTTCTGGAGGAAAGTGACTGAAAGTATTGGACTATCACGTGCCCTCAATCCTAGGCCGCGAGTTCCGCGCCAGCGAGACCAACCTCTCAACAAAAGCCTGCGCTAAATAAAACGGCGGGTAAGTCTGCCCGTCATCCGTTGATCTGCCAAGGTGAGCCAAGAGTCCAGCGATATCCTCCAAGGTCTTAAGATCCCTCGTGAAAGTAGATGAAGTTGGAACCGTTATGAGATACCAGAAGACGGAGAGAACGGCCGTGAGCAGAAACTGCGCGTGAAGCCTAGAATGGAAGAAACTCGAATTAGTATACATACGAATTCAAGGTTCGGAATCCCTTACCAGAATGTATGCTGGTTGATGAATTGCCGGACTCGCCAGATGTAGATCAGCGAACACCTCGCAGCTTCAAAGCACAGCTCTGCGCTAGATGGGAGAGGCGACCAGCTCTGCGGAGAAGGTATCTTGGAAGAGCTACTCGCTCCGTGGATCTTTCCGAGGCAGTAGTAATATTCCAAATGGATATTCACACCGCGCATACTGAGATCGTGGAACAGATAGTCCGGTGCGCTCTCGGTGGCGAACACCTCCGGCCTGCAGTCGACGGGATAGCCCAGCTTCAAGTCGCTCAGTTCTTGGTCTAGTTCACGGATATGTTGAATGCGTCTAGCTTCCGGTTGCGTCAGACTCTGCGCTGAATAAAGTAACCGGAAGATCTTGGACTTGAGCACAGAAAAGCGGAGGTCTGAGGGGAAAAGAAGCTCCTTGGATGACAAGGGCTTCATATAGAAGTGGCGTTCTGAGGTTTCCTGGGCATATGTCGTAGGCAGATCTAGGTCGCAATCGGCGTCGTTTATCAAGGGTGGCTGGGACTTTCGTATAGAGAATTCTTTGTCGACGGCATAGCAATGCCAGAACAAAGCTCGGAGATGTTGGCTACGCTGGTCTGTCCTGTGGATCTCATTGGGGGTTTGTATTTTGTTTGCCCCGAGGGTATAGATGAGCTGCACCGCGATTCCAAGAAGTAGTTCTCCTGCCTGAGGCCTGCCAAGAGGGGTGATATAGAGCATCTATGGCCACATATAAGCTTCTGAGACATGGGATCCATCTTTGGGGCTGGACACGCGAAGAACTTACTAATATTGTCACCGCTTCCAAGGTTCTTAAATCAGGTGGCTCCAGTAACATTTCAGGAAGGAGCGTTAGCGCTGCTTGTAAATAAGCATCCGGGTCAGCGCCGGCGAAAGCTCGCTCATGGCGGTGGATATGGGTGATCATCGCCGCAAAAGCAACCAGACAAGCCCGATTCGCAGCACGACTCATGTTTGGAGGCCGGTCTAAGACATTTGCGTTGAGTAGAATCTGAACGGCCTCAACATCGATAATTGGAAATATAGAATAGAGGCCATTTCTGTCAAAATATTCCAGGCACTGTTGGACTAGAGCAGACCCTGGCCATTTGATTCCAACCACTTTCTTTGTCGACTTAAGCTGTCGTGAATTGAAAGACTGGGTGACCTCACCAGCAAAGACATCCACATTGAATGTACAACCCGTTTGCTCTTGAATAAGAGAGTAAAAAGCTGCCCTTTGCGTCGAAAGAGCACTCCCGAGCCCACAATACGAGATGTGCCATTGGAAAGCTGCCAACGCGGTCTCGAAATCACGAGTATCAGGCAAATAAGATAAGGATGCTTCCGATATGGGTTTAGGCGATGCTGGAGAAGAGCTTCTGCTCGGAGAAGGGATAGCTAGCCTTTTGTGGTTCTGTTTTGTGGATTCTTTAAGTCCGAGAAGGACCGCCTCTAATTCCCGAACCCGAGCTTTTGTATCGGCAAGCTCTCTGCGTTCACCGTAAGCGCTTGGCAAACAGTGGCTCAATGGTATAGAGTCTTACTGTCGGGTGCTTTTCCGATGCTGGGATACAGGTTGAGAGAATGTACATGGTAGTCCTGCAAGATGGCAATTCTCACAGGCTGGTTGATTTCTATCACAGCGGATCTGTTGGCAAAATCAGATAGAGGCTTTCACACGGGCAGTGTGGATATTACCTTTCGGTGTCGACATAGATCGCAGGCGGTCCGCCCCTTGGCGCCCCGTGGGCCAGTAGAATCATCCATAAAGCAATATCGTAATACTCCTTATAGATGTCGAGAAGCCTTATCGGTCATCATAGGGGAAATCGCTGAATCATCAAGCCCTTTTTCATCGGGACTAAGCCTATCGAGAAGACACGCATTGAGATCGACGGAATTTCAAGGCCAAGCCCTTTTTAGCTGCGTAGCGCCGAGACCGGGCGGCAAGTGGGTAGATGAGTCAGCGGGCATTTTGGCCCTGGCCTGGGGGCCACTCGACGGACTTGACCTTCAACAATGTACGGAGTAAAGTGTATTGTTAGTGTTCAACTTTCTTGAATGCGGCTTTTCATTTGTTCATTTTGCGTTTTCATCTTTTACGGATAGCCCAGATCTCTCCCGACGTAGAGCCTGTTGCTATAGATCTTATATCAGCTACACTAGTGATTCAGATAGGAAATCAGAACAAATCGAAGTATATGTAAAAGCGAAAAGACAAGATCTAAATAACAATCAGACCAAATTAGACAACAAAAAAAAAGCAAAATAGCATGTCCAAATGTCTACACATTCCACCCACTAGTACTCCCTTCTCTCCTTACATAGCCACGAACCCTCACTCAAGTAGACGGGGCCACATCGAGACTGAAAATACCATCCCACTCGCACCGAGCCTTAGGGTCCTCCTGCTTCTCGCATCTCCACAAGTCGCCACTCACAGTTGACCGCCCAGTCAGAGAGCCGTCTGCGCGGGAGACTCCCAAATCGAACTTTTCAATATCATAGATTCCATTTGGGAGGTTGAGCTGGTATGCCTCGTCGGAGCAGTTGTAGGTCTTGTTTCCAGCCATTCCAATTGACCTGTGTAGAAGTCAGTATTATCTATGCCTTTTGGCTTTGGGCTTATAGGGCATCCTAAACACAGAGAAGAAAGTTGGAACATAGATCGGAACATACCAGTAAGCAGAGCATTTGGTGTCTGTGTCATTGTTCGGATCTTTGACTGCAAAAGAGAGGAGGCAGGTTTGTGGGAGGCTCGTGCTGGGAATGGCTGCGTTGAGATTTGTAAGTTGCAGGGGCTTTAGGGCGGGCACCTTAGGGCTGGGTGCAGCTGTGGCAGTCGCCAGGACGAGAGCGGAAATTGACACGGTCTTCATTTTGCTGGACTGATGTTTGTTGCTTTGCTTTTTTGGAATTGTCATTGGATTCTCTGCTGTTGGAGCGTATACCGATGGGGTTGACGACCCTCTTATACTTCATGTTTCCTGTAAATATACTTGTCGAAAGTTCAACTGAGACATGGACACGAGAAATAGACACGTAAGATCAAGATCGTGATGAATGTTGACGTAGAGTTACATTGAATTTATTGCAACCCAGCTGGGCAAGCCTATTTGGATCTCCGGATTATCGAATGACAATCTATTGCCGTTGAAACAAAGTATAAAGCCTCACACCTCAAAGAGGCGATACGATCCGGAAATTCAGGCCTTCGACTGACTCTCCATATGTGCTTATTGTAGATATTCACCGCTAAACCTATACGCTGTTATTGGCTCCCGCTATGTGCTATTTTTGATATCAGGCGACCAGCCTACACAGCCCTGTATTATTTCTAGATGTTAGATCAAAGCATACGCTCTCTATAATTACTTGTCTCGCATTAAATATATGCTCCTATGAATAGAGACATAGTAAACTACAGCTGAACTCAAACTTATGTAGATTATGCTTTGTGCTACTTGCCCTAACAGCCCTATGCGAGGTAATAGTAAATTAGCAGTGTGAATGTCAAAATTTAATTTGGAAAAATGCGATATGGCGCACTGGCGGCTACACTCTGCCGTAACGTACCTACATATTTACGGTGTTCTAAATGAAACCTTTCCCGTAAACTTCTGAAAAGAGGTATCATTTGCCCCAGGTGTTTGCTATCATGGCTAGGGCTACAACTATTCTATACTTAGAGAATTGACAAAAACCAATTGATCTATTCTATAACAGATATATATAGCCAAGGAAATATGACAAGTAGGGTTCAAAGCCACTGATCTCATCTCATAATCCGATAGTAGAACTGTTAATATCCGATGGGCTCCATATAAGGTCCAACCCTCGGACAAGGAGGGCACCTGCTACATGCCATCATCAGGATGGTGGGGCATAGCCTGGAGGAGCAGGAGAGGTGCGTAAGGAGGAGGTGGAGTGATATGGCGCACAGGGAGGAGCCCACCTAAGTCCGAACCGGAGTACGGGGGCGACTCCGGCGCCGCTACGGTCACATCCTCTTCATAGAGAACTACAATAAACATATCAGCCTCGGAAACGCCTCCGTGGTACACAAGCCGCAACAGATTCAGAAGACCTCCGCCGGGACGAGTACCAGTAGGTGTGGACATGATGAAGTGTTAGCGGGGTGTAGACCCATTGCTGTGGCCGAACACAGCCATCATCATAGGCGGGGTTGGGATATCTAGCAGGAACCGGTCAACACCCTGGATCTGCTGCATAGTCGACTGGATCTGGACCCACTGGCGGTGGAAATAGAGGTCAAACCCCTGTGTCCACTCTCGGTCGAGGCCGGACTCTGCGAGGGCGGCGCATAGAGTCCAGATAAGGTGGCTCTCATTGATCCACTCGGTAAATACAGTCTCTGTCCAGGAAGTACAGAGTTGTCGGCCCACATGGCACAGTACAGATGCCTGGGGAGTGATCTGCAGATCTTCGACTGGTCCGCGGGAGAGTTCTGCAACCTGTGCCCACTTGCCAAGCTCGTCAGATGACATGATACTATATGAGCTGCAAGACTCACACGATTGGGTCGTACTTGGGTATCGGGTTCAATGTGAATGTTCGACTTTGGAGCAGTGTAGAATAGAACAGTGTCGGCGAATTCCTGTCCTTCACGCGAAGAGGGAAGGGTTTATATAGTCCTAGAGAGTCTGAAGCTTACATGACTGGACCTGAGAGAGAATGCCTTTATTATGTATGAAAGAAGTCAAAGGCGTTGAAAGAATTCTTTATGTGTCAAGTCGTGTAAGAAAATGAATACTATTTTTTATTGCCAAAGATACCACGCTGCCCTTTGTTGGACGGTACCCAACAAAGCCTCACGGAAAATGCAAGAATCCTTCATAGATGACTACCTAATCAGAGAGAAAGAGACAGACCCATCTGGGAAAAGGAATATAGCCACGGAAGAGCTAATCTCCGCAAGATAGCTAAGATAAACATGCTCGAGAGCTAAAAAGGGAATGCCCAAACACAGCGACTCATACGCGAGTCTGTCTTGTACCATCAAGCTTGCATTGTTAATCACCATGAAGAGATCCCCATTTCTTCCAGTATTGTCTGACGCCTGACGCCCGAGGGCTCTTTCCGATATATCTTTTATTGGGGACACAGCTATCTGAATCCTACAAAACTCATTGAAACGAGCAAAGCCATTGTTGTATCGATATCAGACCATGCTGAGACAGCACCTCAGGGAAGAAACATTTGAACCAAGTAAAGAGAGGCCTTGATTGGGGAACCCAACTGAACCACATCAGCGATGGCCTGGTTCCTAATGCTATACCAATAAGAGATAGTTAACTAGTAATGTACCGATCTCAATAGCCCATATACATCCAAAGAAAACTCAAGTTGAGTCAACGTCATGAGTTTCACACGAGCTTTTATAAAAGAAGTACAACTTCCAAGTTCCCCGAACCCCCTACCTTTATCGTCTTTCCAAACTCCACTACCTGATAAACCGACACAAGCAACCGTCCGATTCCATTAAAATACAATCGCAGTTATCTCGCTTCCATCTTATCTGTATTTGATTTTCATGTATTCAACCCGATCATTTGTTTTCGTTTCATCATCCAATTCTCAGAAGCCTGGGCGACCATGTCCATGCCCGTGTCCATATCCATCATGTGGACCCGGATGCGAACCATATGTCGGGGCATTGTGGGAAGCGTGCGGCTGCGGATTGCCGAAGTGGTCATTTTGCTGTCCATAGTACGAAGGATCCTGCGAGCCGCCATAATGCTGTTCATTATGCTGATTATGCTGGTAGCCGTGACTTTGTTGAGGTACGTGCTGAGGCTGATAGTAGCCTCCATGCTGTTGTGGAGGAGGCTGCGAGGCTTCGTGACTACCCCCTGGGTGGTGACTCTGGTATGAGCTGTGCTGGTTCTGTTGGGTTCCTTGGTCATTTGCATCGCGCGTCAAGCCACCAGGGAGGAAGTTGGAGATTTTGCTTTCGAGTTTGCCCAGGTTAGACAAGCCGGGGATGCTAGAGAGTTTGTCCCAGGGCATGCCAGACGAGCTGCTGTTCGATTGTTGCTGGTGGTTTTGGTGCTGATTTTGTTGGGGGAGGAATGAGGAGAATCCACCAGAAGAATGTCCGCCGTTGTTACTGTGTCCGTGGCTTTGGCTCTGGCTGTGACTCTGGCTTTGGCCGTGAGAGGCACCACCCAATGCTGCGAATCCACCATGGCCACCGCTGTGAGAGTGGCTCACTCCACCAGTGTTACGACCGGATCTCACGCCCTCGGAGCTGAGGATGGAGTCAAGGGAAGCACCACGGTCTGGGCGGGCGTGTGCCCATTTCTCGACCGCCTCGAACATCGCACGATGAGCATCATTACGCATGTTGCGCAACGCTGGATGGTGGAAGACTTGCATGCAGTCATTAAGGACCTCGTGCTCGGGGACATCGATGTGTTGCCAAGCGTACAGTACGCGAGGCACGACGTACTCCACGATTGAAGAGGCGACCCGTCCGGCGGGCTCATTCAGAATGTTGGCGAAGTGGTCCTTGGAGAGCAACGAGTGGGTGGGGTCTGTGCAGTGAGGGTCGGTCCATGGTTCGTACTGGTGTTTGCCGGAGGCATCAATAACACCTGCTGATCCAGTTTGCATGGACTTGGAAGCAGCTTTGATCAAAGGTCGAATGAAAGGCGATAGGAGCGACATGATGACAACGGTCAGAGTCTCGGAGATCTTCTCGACCAGTGACTCCAAGCCTGGGATCTTCTCAATGATGGAGTTCAATTTCCGCATCACCTTATCTCGGAAGGCCAGGATGGGATAAATCTTGGCTACTGTCTCCTGGGGGTTGAGATCAGGCATGCCGTTAAGCCCAGAACCGGGCTTGGAACCACCGCCTGAAGTCTGAGTCGGCCCCGCACGAGACCGCTCGTGACTATTGGAAGAAGACTGCGCATAGCCGGTCTCTGCACTACGGCTCCGGTTGGCCATTTCTTGTGCCTCCGACGACCTCTTGAGACCCTCGGCCTCGCTGACGAGGTCCTTGGTACCGGGGATCTTGCTCAAGAGCCCAGTCAAGGCATTAAGGGAGTTGTTCGACTGCGCATTCTGTTCGGCATTGCCGAGCGCAATATCCATCTCGTTGACCTCAGACTGAGTGAAATGATCATCTGCCTCTCCCATCATGGAGTGAAAGAAATCAACCATACCAAATGTTCCCGTCACAAGCGGGAAAACGTGACGTCCTTGAAGGTTGATCTGGGTGGCAGTACCCGTATGCGGGAACACGTTCTTGAAACCCATCTCACGTAACGCCAACTCAACGTAGTTGGTGTGTGCGGCGAAATCCTCCAGTGTGTGTAGTCCCTGGCCTAGACACCGGAGTGCTTCGCACAGATCCTCCTCGTTGCCCTTCTTGTGTCCGCCATTGGTGTAGGTCCGTCCGTAGTGGATACTGCGGCTGAGACTGAACTTGATATAGGCAGCGCTGGTGGCCCAGTCGCCTCGCTCATTGGCGATGTAGTTCTTCATACCGGTGGTCGGGTCGATTTCGAGCTCAACAGCACGAACGGGTGGGCGCAACCGCTTGTCATATTGGCGTGCATCTTCGTTATCGGCATAGTCCTTAGGGTTACTGCGAGAAAGAAGACAATCAGTACAAGTTATCGAAAATAGATCTCAAGCTGGACTTACTCGATATGTTCCTCAGGACGGTAAACACCCAAGCGATCCGAAGTCACCTCGAATTCACCCGTGGCATAGCCGAAGCTCAGGAACGAGAGGACCCACACCAAAACACGGATTGTATCGGCCTGCAGATTTTTAAGAGTCCCGACATCCATTGCCTGCGAGCTACAGAAGCAGTCAGAAGATGTCGATCTTTCGATTATGTGATAACTCACTAATCGCGCAACCAGTTGCCAAAATACACACGCTTGACCATGGTAGAGGTCCATTTGTGGCCGGAGATGAAAGCCAGCGTCTTGATGACATCTTCGATATCACCATGGCGCCAGTTCTTGCCTTCAACCGCGGAGATAGAGGCGATATTTCCAGCCCCAAAGGCGTGTACTTGCGGGAGTATTAGGAGCAGTACTAGCAGGGCGGAGCCCGTGTGGAGGAGGGGCATGGTGGGGGTGAGATTTGCGTGGTATTTCTCTTGAAATTTGGGATAATATGGAATTTCCCCAAATTCACAAGCTAGAGAAGTAAGAAGAAAGGGTTCCGAGGGGAAAAAGATCAAGTGCGATCTCCAAACTGTGGCAGAGGACTCAGCCTTCTGGCTCTTGGCTGTTCTTGGCATTGGGTGAGCCCCATGACGTTGAAACAGAAACTGCGAATGGGTTTGTTATTTTTAGATTTGGGTATTAGGTAGAATCGAGACTCTACATATTGAACATGTGCATAACATACATGAAATACATACATATACACGTGTAGTATGATATAACTATAACAGTCCCGAAAGGTCACATCTGGAGATCCACGGTAGCATCGACCTCGGGAATTTCCAAAGTAAATGCGACACTTGCGTCGTATTGTTTTTTTTGGGCGATTTCAACCCCGCAATATAAATTTCAACTTGAGTCCTCCAGATATTTTCCAGAGCTCCAGACACTTGAGATCTAAATCACTCTTTCACATTTCCTCTACCAAAATGTCCACCCCAAACCTAGACGCCCTGAAACGCGATGGCTTCGTGGTAGTCCGCAACCTCCTAACCCCAACCGAGGTGTCGCACTACCGCGAAATTGCCACGAAAGCAACAACCCTAACCCGCAATGGAAGCTGGCCACACTTCCGTACTGTCCCGAAACAATTCCCACCCTGGCCAACAACTGCACCGCCGGCCTCGGAGGGCGGAATCTGGGGCGTGCAGCACCTAATGCACCCCGAAATGCCAGGACGGGACAGTTTCGCACGATGCTACTTCTCTCCTACGATTCTCGCCGTAGCGGAGGAGCTAATGGGCATTGAAAACGAAAACGGCAGCAGCGAGACGGAGCCACTCGTCATGGAACTGTTCAACCTGCTCGTGGCGCCGGAAACTAAAGACTTTGAGCTCCGCTGGCACCGCGACGATATCTCCGAGCACGCGACTGCCGAGGAAGAACTCGCCCAGCTTGCGGCTAAGGCGCCTGGAGGCCGTCAGTCGCATTGCCAGTATAACCTGGCGCTATGCCCTGATGCATCGCTGATTGTTGTGCCGGGGACGCACGCGCGTGCGCGCACGCAGGTCGAGCGTGAAGCGGATCCTTATGCGGCTGAGCTGCCGGATCAGTTGGTTGTTGAATTGCAACCTGGAGATGCGGTGTTCTATAATAGTAATATTCTGCACCGTGGGGTTTATCGGGGGAAGAGTGAGGGTGGGGTTGAGACCAGGTTGACTTTGCATGGAAGTCTTGGGTTGAAGGCTTCTGGGAATGGGGGGGATGATGTCGAGGAAAAGAAGAAGGTTAGAGCTACTGCGGTGCTGCAGCATGGGGTTGGAGCTTGGGTTCATCGTGAGGATGCTGCTTTTGGGCTTGGGGAGAGAGCTGAAAGGATGAGGGCTAATCTTGTTGAGATGGGGACTGGGGAGGGTGTTGGGTTTTCTTTGCAGGGGTAGACTTTTCAAGGGTCCTTGCGAAATTGTGAATATTGTTAGTGCTTGTATATATGTATTTACCGCTGGGGGTCCGGTTATCTTATGTATAGGGTAGAATGTACAAATGATGAACCTTCAATGTTTGTATCTGCGGGCTTGGCCGTTCCATCTCTAGTCGGTCAAGGGCATTAAACGAGGGCTCGGGTGTCTGTTAATCGTTATGTTCATTGTTCAAGTCCAAGTGGCTAATAAGTCTGACATTTCTCCTTGCCCTTTAGCTTTGACAATGCTGCTCTCATTAGGATCGCACCTGCATCTATATACAAAAGCGTAGACCCGCATCCAGTCACGTGGCTCACATACACGAATGCTGATTTCCACGCTAAACTATATCTAGTCTAGTTCAAACGTCCCTTGCCCAGACGGACTCCACTCGGCAATCCAAAGATCTGCCCGACATTGTCAATCACACACTCCTCGATACTGGCTTTATCCTTGCTCTGAGTCAGGCAATTCCCAGAGGAACTGCGCAAATGACCAGAAATGTAATGATCCCAAGTAGCACCAGTACCACCCTGGCACTTAGCAAGCGAAACTCCATCCCCAGCAGCAAGACAAACCGACGTGTCCGACAGAGGACTCAAAGTCAGTTTGGTGCCATCGCCTGTTGCCGCCACATGCCAGACCTGGGAGTCTGAGGCACTGCATTTCTCAAAGGTAACAGAATCAGTAGAAGCAGTCATACAAAGACCAGACGGAGTATTGAAGACCATCCCGGTAGGGGTGGTCTTGGTGCAGCTTTCGGGCAGCGCAATACGGTAGACCTTGGCAACATGAGAATCGAGCTGGATCTCGATAGCAGAATCGATAGTTGAGACCTCGTCAGTGAGGAGATCGCGTGCATCATACTTGCAGCTAGACTGAGATGACAAGCCGAGGCGCGCGAGGGAGACAGTCGTTGTGGCCGCATCGGCTCCACGGTTCAGCACGGTGAGGAGTCTGTCTCCGTTTTCCAGGGAGCGGGACAGGACATCGAAAGTGCCGTCGCGACTCACGAGAGCAGATTGCTGCCCCAGCGGGTCCTGGTTCACGGCGATGAGGGCCTTGTTGCTGAGGAATGCAATCTCCTCGTCCGAAAGGCCGGGCACGTAAGCGCTGAGAATCAGTGGCGCGCCGATGGAAGCCCAGAGCGCAAACTGTGATTTTTTCTCGTTTTGAGAGAGGCTTGGGTGGTCTGGGATCAGGAAGTCTGGATCGTTATAGTAGCCCGGTTGCTGGTAGCGCGCTAGACGCGCGTGCATGTCGTAGTTATACATGATGCTATCCCAGGCACTGCCATTGCTGGAATAGACGATCACATCTGCCGAGTGACGCGCCAGCTCGCTGGATTCCGGGACCCAGTCCATGACGACCGCCCAGTCTGCCGCCTCGCCTTCAAAATACGCAGGCGCGGAATTGGAGAAGATAAGCGGAACTGGCAAGGCATTCAGCACGTCGTGCCACTGCATGTAGCGGACATGGTACTCCTCGCGGAGGGAGCGACCTTCTTCGGCCCAGACATTGCATCCGTCCAGCTTGAGGTAGTCTATGCCCCAGCTAGCGAATAGTTCGGCATCCTGCGCCTCGTGCCCGTAGGAGCCCGTATAGCCGCCACAGGTCAAGTTCCCAGAATCTTGGTAGATTCCGAGGTGAAAGCCTTCGTTTTTCATGTAGTCGGCAAGCCAGGGGATGCCCTGCGGGAACTTGTTGGTGTCCCACTCCAGGGAGCCGTCATCGGCGCGGTCATGGAGCATCCAGCAGTCATCCAGCGTGAGGCGGTCATAGCCCACGTCGAGGAGGCCGCGCTTTCGCATTGCTTGCGCTGTTTCAGTGAAGAGCGTCTCGTTCAGATCGCACTCAAAGCGTGCCCAGTTGTTGAACCCCATCGGGGGTGCTGGGGCTAAGCTTGGGTTATCAGTGGAGGCTTCCACGGGTAGCAGGGGAAACACTAGGAGTCCGGCCATGCTCCGGGCTGCCCAGCTCGTGGGCGAGAGCGGCTTCATGGTGTCTTTCCAATAGGGAAGTATACACAAGACAAGACAAGATGTAATATGCTTTGATGGCGCAGGCTTGTAATCGGCTGAGGCGTATGTTGCACACCATCGCGAGCCATTTTATGCTATCCAGGACCCCTTCGGTCAACTTCATTCGCTTCCTTCACTGGCTCATTTTCAAGGATTCCCCGCACCGACGTCGCATCTACAACACACTGGGATCTGCAGCGGACGCGGGGGAAGTGATAAGTATTGCGACGGTACCATCGACATATAGCATCTTTAACGAAGTAGCGTATACAACATATCTGTATACAACACAAAAGTTCCTCAAAGGGTACGGAGCACTCCGTAGACTGAATCTGATTCCAAGATCAGCAAGGGACGCCGATCTTCGAGAAGACAATCGAACAGTATCCAATCAGAGTGCCGCAGAGTTTTAGCCCAGAGCTATCGAGCAAAAAATTGGATCGGAAATACGATCCATCACATTTTCTCCTCGAAGATATGTTGTCGCCCAGCTGAAACTGCATGGATGACCAGGATGCAAAAATCCGGACTTTTTTGAGTGGAACTCCCCGCCCTAAACTTCAACGGCTTCTCCGATTCTCCGATTGTCTTCTGGGGAATTGGTCTTTGAGACACCATTATACCTGCAATATTACTACGGGGTAGAGTGGTATTACCGTAATGCCCCCAGACTCGAAAACAAAGATCCGCCCACAGCAGTCGTGCCTCAGATGTCGCGAGCGCAAGGTGAAGGTACCCGGATACTCTCCACTCTATCTCTCGACACCCACGTTACTATCTTCACCCACACCTTTAATTAATCCGCAAGCCACTAATCACCCCTCTCTTATTACCAGTGCGACCGCTCTATCCCATGCCACGCCTGCATAATCCGCGGTCTCGAAGCAGAATGCACCTACCTAACAACGGCCGAAGATCGAGCCCATATCAGCCAATCCGAGATAATCGACCAACTACGCCGCGAAGTCGCACAGCTGCGGGGGCGCCTGAACCAAGGTCCGCTAGAGCCGGGTCATAGCCAGAACCAGACCCAGACCCAGCGCCAGCGCTCCCGCCCATACCAAGGGGCTGGGCCTTTCCCAAGGAATGGCCCAAGTTGGACACAATATGCACCTGCACACACAGGCTACAACCACGACAGCCAAAGCCCCAGCAATGGCTCTGGGTGTGCGACAGGCACTGGCGCTGGCTCTGCTTCGGCTGGAGGTACCCCGGATACTGGTGAAGGTAGTTGGCGCGGGTCGTCGCCATCCTCATCGATCACGGCAATGACGAACTCTGCGACTGTCACGAGTCCTGATAGTACGGGGAGTGATAATGGGGCTGGGTCTACGTCCGCTTTGTCGCGGTCGGCTTCTGTTTCGGCCTATCCTGTCGCGACGGGGTATGCGCCGCATGTTGCGGAGCTAGATGGGTCGACTGCAGTGGAACCGCTTGCTTTTGGAAGTATGTTTTGCTTTTGTTCCACTTATTTTGGCGCTTGTGTTGACTTTGGGCAGATACTCTACAAGATACGGCAATGCTCGGTTCTTATACAGGCGGCATGACCTTCGCTCCGGGTGACAACATGTCTGGAACAGTCCCTCTCCCAGTGCACGGGTTACACACGCAGGATGCGATATTAGGGATGCACCACCCGCCGATCTACGGAGCCAATAGCGATAATTATATGCTTGACGGAAGTAAAGCACTACCATATTTACAAGACACTAGCTATCTCGCGCCCATACCAACATCAGCAGTAACACATTACGGGGAGGAACGTCCAATACGAAATGAAGACGACAGGAATCATGCATATCATCAGTGGGGGCAAGATGCACACGGAAATCCGAATCCGAGTCCGAACCAATTCCCGCATACGCATATATACCAAACCCCGTCTCATTATCCACCTATCAACCCCTTCGCCAACATCACTGCCACCAACACGAACATCAACGCCTACGCAGATGCCCCATTCTCCCTACCCACCCCACCATCCGTAGCTGCCAGCCCCAGTTCCCAGGACCGTCCGTCACCAACAACCATCATGAACTCAATGCCAAGCTCCTGGAAGGGCGAGGGGAAACAGGAACTGCTAGAGATCCTGCTGGAAACAATTGGCAGCTGTGACGAGCAATACTTACCCCAGGTGATTCGGGTCTTGCGGACAAGTCCTTCGCCCGAGGAAGCTGTTTCGGGGGTCTGTCAGGTGCTCGGGATTGGGACAGGGTGATGACGGTATTCTCGCACACTCAAACCTAAACCCGGAGGCGGACCAAGGTCTGTTGTCCTGTGCATGTGCGGAATGCGTTGGAATCGAGTGGTTCCGGTCAGGTTCAGAGCTGGGTCTCTGGAAAAGCCACCCGGTAGATATGTTGGTCATGTAGCCTGGGTCGCTGGTCGATACCTGGAAAGTAAAGTCATGCTGAGACTCTCTGGGACAGAATCATCGCACTGCACCACATCATCTCCCGTCCTATGATGCTTCACGATACCCATGTCCACAGGAATATGAACATAAATGAAATAAACAATCTAGTACATAAAAACCTCCACACATTAATGGGCAGAAATATGGTCATCGAGCCATGATTCATGTCGACAGAGATCGGAGAAGTCGATAGGGACAGAGGTATTCTCAACCTCAGATTTCGTGGGGTATCATTGTCATAATCATCGTTATACAGTCCCAAGTCTCAAGACCCCTCAGAATCAGTGGATAAATCGTCAAAAGGCCGTTGTCCGTAGACGAAGTGGAAGCGCACATAGAGGTGGTGCGAACTGCTCATCAAATCCGCTCGCGCCCTCTCCATATGCTCCTGCGCATCCTGGTATGAGAGGCCCAGGACACGGGTAAAGAGAGCCAGTGAGTACGGCTCGATCGTTTCCAAGATAGACACCTTGCCGATGCGACCGATTTCTTTGTAGCGGTGGTTCTTGGCCCAGCCACCAATAGGACTCTGAAAGTAAGTCAGTATGCGAAAATAAAAGTCGGAAGAAAAGTGGCAATACCTTATAGATATCATCAGTAACATTCGCAAATCCTTGCTCAACCATCCACGGCGAAATCTTCGCTGCAACATCCATCGGCTTCCCAAACTTCTTACTAGACTGGGTCAACAATGCCGCCCAGCTATTGATAGCAGTAGCGCGCTCATGGGTCCCATCATCGGAACGCACACAATCCTCAAACTCCTGCGCCTCAAACCAGCCGCCTGGCTTAAGATGCTGATACGCTTGCTTAATCAGCTTCGGCCAATCCCCAATCCCACCGGCCATTGTTCTTAGATGGATATAGTCGAATGCCTCGCCGGGCGAAAAAGTCCAATCACTCTCCGCATCGTCGATATAGAAGCGGCAATTGGGCGGCGACCAGTTCGGCTGGATGGGGCTGAGATCAGTGCCGATGACATCCGCCTGCGGGTAATCTTCGGCGATTTCCAGGGCCCATTCGCCAGGGCCAGTGCCGATGTCGAGAATGCGGCGCGGGCTAGAGGCTTGTATTGGTGCGCGGTGCAGATTCCCGCCGAGGAGAAGTTTGAAGAGGTGGTGCGTTAATGCTAGGCGGTCTTGTTCTTCTTCGTCGTTTGGGAAGGGGTATTGGCCGTTGCGGTAGGCGTGATAGCGGCGGCCGTTCTCATAGCAGTAGTCTCGGACGGAGGAGGCAAATGAAAGGTTTGAACCTGAGATGGTTTGGATGTCGAAGAGGGAGTCGTCATCGCTTGTCTGGGGGTTGTTAGTGGGTTTGGGGTTTTATTGAATTATACATTAGGAAGTGGGAATTGGTGTTGGAGATCAGCAAGGAGGGTGGCCTGTTTTGGGGCGCTGGAAGCTACATGGATATGGGGTAGGAATGGGATCGAAGAAGTCAAAGGGGATGGTCTGCTTACGTCGACTTGGATGCGTTCATCGAGATTGGGTTGTGACATGGTGAGACAGGGGGAGGTTGGGAGATTGGGAGGAGAGAGGGAGAGGTGGAGGGAGGTAGGAAAGAGGGAGATATTTATCTTCTCCCCTATGAAGAGAGTAAGTAGAGGAGTGAAATGAAGCTATCAATTCCAAGAAACCAAAGAAACCCGAGAGATGGGATACCGGGAGGAACCCTAGCGTCATTTATTTTTTTCCCAAGGTTTCTTCTACGGCGGAGTACCACCTGGCCGGTTCCGTACCTTTGTCTTTTATTGACCCCGCAGTGGGAGAATCCGACAGACTGGTACGGGAAAGTCGTCCATTCCAAATCGGTCTGTTCTGTGGATTCCCGGGATTTGGATTTTCGACAGTCCTTAGTATTTCCATTAGTCCCGTTCCATTGACAAGGACTAACTAGGTAGGAACCTTCCTACTACTAGACCACCTGGGCACTCTAGACCTGCACTAGGTGTCTTGGCAAGGACAAGGATTTTGTATTTTTGATCTTAATGAGCATGATCTCCATGGATACGTTTTTCATGGTCAGAGAAAATTGTAGCTCCTGCCGAAAGCCGAGAGAGAGGGAGAACTGACCGCTGATTATCCATACGAGACGATCCCATCCTGTAGGGATCAGGTATCGTCTCTAGGATCGTCACCTGCCCTGACCGATCATATTCCACCCTCAATCCTCAAATCACAGGCCTTCGAATATATTAGCCAAGCTTAGATAGCCCCACGGAGGAGTCCCTCTACAGGGAGTATCCCGTAACATGGACCCATATAGAGAGGGTCTACGGAGAAAGCTAAGTTCTAGACTATAAAGCTTGACCCCCTATCACTGCCTGTCTTGTGAATGGGCGATGAGCCCTGCCTCCTGGCATCGGGACTGGCCTATCATGAAACGTATATACTCGACAAGGCAGGGACAAGTTGTGCGAGTACATATGTACATGTGTACATGTGTATGTTGTAGAAGTTCTCATTGACGATTTCCAGCAAAGAGAGATAAGTTGGTGGATTTCAGCCTGAACGGAAGAGAGTGTACCCATGCCAGGTTCCAGACCGAAATTTTAGGATCAATCCATTATAAGGAATCTTACATCGACTACACCCAACATTTATCGATGGTAAGTTGCCTGTCGAAAATGGCTCATGCATCCAGCTCCCCATGCCAAATCAATTTCGGGCTAGACCAGGTACCGTCGGTATTGAGTATCGTACTAGGTCGGCTGTTCAGGTATGATATAGAAGAGTGAGAGAATAGGCTTCTAAAGTACGACGGGAAAAAAGCGAAACGCGAACAGGACCTCAGAGATGTGTTCAATAATACCCACACCCTACTCAGATCAACCAATCTCGATTGTGATGGAAGGCTGCTGAAAGGAGGAAGTGGGAACTGAGACCTTTCTTCCAGCGAAAGGCCTATGGATGTTCCAAGGTTGCCCCGCGTTGCGAGATCCATGGAATAAATAGGCTTCAAGCGAACGGGTCGGTCCTCTCGGTCCGCACGGGTACGCCATTTTTCATTTCCATATTATTAAGCTACATCTGCATTTCCTAAACGTCGCCAAGATTGACATCGGAAAGCAAGGTCTTCTTGTCAATGCAAAATTTCAAAGTATCGGAACTATGGCGATAGAATGGAGAGACGCCTGGGGTGGAAACAATCCCCAAGCCTGGAAGTAAGTCTAACTCGATTTAGCAAAGGTAACAACCTCGAAAGCCTGGAGTCAAAGAGTGTGATTGGTAAGCTGTCGCTCGTTCTTTGGGATTCACCATCAGCTGTTCAGCCACCTCGCAAGGCTCTTGGGTTATGATAGCATCCTACGAGACCTAGGGGTCTCGCGTGGATAAGAATGAAACACCTTCATTCAAATCAGTATACATCCTCGTCACTGTCTTGATGAATGCTGCATCCTCGCTAGAGGCAAAACAATCAAGATCAGTTGCCACCCTGATCACGCTATATAGGTAGAATTTCATTGAGGGGAGGTAAAAGTGCTCGAGACTGTATGACAACGGAGGGGCTGGCGGGGTGCGTTTTAGGTACCTGTACCTAGATAGCTTGGTACAGGTAACTATTGAGGTTAGTTGACAAAGCCACCATCATGGCCCTGGGGCCTCGGGGCTCGGGGTCCTCCCTGCCCAGGTGGAGCCCGGGAGGAAATGGCGTGCTCAGGACAACGAAGCGGTAAAAAGGTGAGCACTAACACAAAATAGGAAGCCAAGAGACGGGCACTGAGGGTGTGCCCGAGCCAGATGAGATAGAGCCTAATTCAGCTGGGTACCCTGGGAGATATGGGAGGGGGGTGGAAAAAAGAAAAAAAGAAAAAAAGGGCCAGAAGAAGCAAAAAAGAAGAAGGCAAAAAAGAGGCAAAACTCGAAGCAAGGATCACCCCTGGCCTTTGGACCCGGCTGCCCGGTACGTCCCCACATGGGATAAACCCTGAGTTGGTTCCGACTGGAAGGAATGGGGGCGTCTACAGAAACAGGGGTGTCCTGACTCGTTATCTCTTGTCAGAGCCGTAAGACTCCGCTGAGCTAGGCCTCAAGCCCAATAAAGAAACAAAATGTTGCAGATTAACATGTGGCGAACGGAGTCCGGAGTACAAGGGGCGCAAACAAAGAGCTCGCAATGGTGGACAGCCCCAATTCGGTCCAGGCCAGAAGCTGCCAGGGCCCCTACTACATATGGTACAAGGATATGCTAATGCTCATTCTACAGTACAGTACGGAGTAGGTAGCAAGAAAAGGAAAAAAAGAAAAAGGAATGTTTACTCTGTGCAAGCGACAGATACAATTCCTTCTATGTTTAATTGGCATCCATGCACCAACCCATTAATAACTCGGGCCCTGAGGAAGGGCACTCGCAACCACAGCAATCGAGTAGGTTTCAACCAGCTCCACTCACAGACCCTGCAGCTTAGCTTGCTCATCCGGAGTCAGCGCCGCATACAATTCTTGGAAACCAGGCTGTGTGGAGGCCTGTCGGAAGAAATTCGCCAGGAAGCCCTGCGTTTCATCATCTCGGCGACGTACACCGAAGACACTCTCGGAGCCACCCTCCCCGAAGCTCATCAGCCCCTGTTTCGTGGCTCCGATACCGAGGTCCAGGACCTGGCTGGGGATATCCTCCCAGTCGTCGTCGCCGTCGTCGCTGTCAGCGTCATCCAGGGCTGCCGCAGTGGCGGCATCGATTTCCTTGTTGCCGGATGCTGCACCCAGCTCTTCGACCAGAACCTTGATGATCTTCAGTGGTGCAGGAACGGTCGTGAATTGGTCTGGGTTTTTGCGCGCCTGCGAGCGGGTCTTGATTCGGCCTGTATCCTGGATGATGAGATCGCCTTTGACAGGCACTTCGGCCACACGCGGGTCGGCAAGCTCGTACAGTCGTGCCAGGGCGAAGATGTTCTGCTTGATCTCGTCATAGCCGGCGAAGTTCACGGAGTTCTCGAGCCACTTGCTCAGGACCACGGTGAGTCCGCTCTGGCCGCCCAGGTTGACCTGGGCCAGGAAGTCGACTACCTCGCGAGCGCTGATGAGAGTGAGTCGCGCGAAGACGAGGATGAGACTTTGGATGAATTGCGCTTGCTGTGCTGTCGCCAGTCGCTGCGCCACGGCTTGCAGGAGCTGCGGTAGGTAGGGACCGAGGCGCTCGGAGCCGGCCCGTTCAACCAACTCTGCTGCTAGCTGGCCGACCTCCGTGGCTGCGTTGTCATCCACGGCCGGGCCCAGCAGGCGGTCAATGATGACCAAAACAACTTCAAGTGCTTCCTTTCCAGATTGAGGATCACGCCAGAGAGCAAACTGCGCAAAGTCGTGAGAGAGCATGTGTCGCACGGCCTCTGTGGCGGGCCGGATCAATTCGGCCTCATCGGAGTCCAGCAGCAGGCGGTTCAACTTGGGCATCACAGTCTCCACGAAACCAGCGGGCATCGGCTCGGGACTCCGCTCGGCCAGAGCGCGAAGAAGATCGGCTGCGAAGTTTGTGAGAGCATTCTCGTCAGTCAGGTTGCCCACATCAATCGCGCCCATCAACGATGGAAGCACCTTTTCGCAAAGATGCATGTAAGAATCGGGGCCATTGTCGGTAATTTGGTCCACAATATCTTCAAATGCCTCTGTGACAGTCAAGGTCAATTGGAAGTTTTCGGCTCCGCTACTAGCAATGTTGAACAACACGTCAATGGCAGTGGACGATAGAACCACACTAGAATCGGCCATAATAGTGTCCCGGAGGGTCTCCGCCAGTGTAACCTTGAGATCATCAGAGTCAGTTTGTTCACGAAGGTCGTGTGCAGAGATGAATTCTGAAATGGCCGCAATCACTGCAGGCTGGAAAGGGCGGGCCAAGCCCGTTGGCAAAGCGGGCATCAGATCTTGTAGCACCCGAATGCAGGCCACTTGGACCACCTCGGCGGGGTCTTCAGCGATCGCTTTCAGAGTAGCCTCCAGATAGGATGATGTGGTCTGTTGGAATGTCTCGCCGGCGACCTTGGACAAAGCGCCAGCCACAAGGTAGCCCCGAGCGCGCAAGAGCTCCTGTTCTTGTTGGGTCGCATATTGCACGAATTGGGTGAAGTGGGATGCCAGCTCAGGTGAGATCTCTTGGTCCACTTCACCAAAGTCTCTAAGCAAACAGTTGAGAATGTACAGAGAGGCTTCCCGCGATTTCCATCTATTTGTGTCATGGTCAATATAGTTTCACAGCCAAAATATAGAGTGATACTCACGAAGCAGACGAATCAGCAAATATGGTGTTCATGTAGCCCAGAAGACCCTCGGCAGCTGTACCCTTCAGCCACTCACCAGCCTTGATCGCTAGATCTCCGCTGCAAGTCCGAGGAGTGTAGTTGGCCGTGACAGAAGTCTCCTCCGAGAGGAAAAGGTTCACGTCAATCTCCCATAGAGCCTCTTCCTCTGTTGTAATCTGTGCATAGGAACTGGCGAGCTTCATAATTTCGGGAAGCCAGCTGGACCTGCTGGCAGTCGCACCAGCATTTTGGAGTTGCTGCTGCAGCTCTGCCTTTACCGGGGGTGCCTTCAAGAGGGCCTGGATAATATCGAGCTCTTCCAAGACGAGGAAATCAAGTGAGTGGGGAAGTCCGTCCGCATCCTCCAAGCGACTCTGCCTCTCCTCCTCAATGTAGAAATTCTGGTAGATCGGTAATGCGTTGGTGAGTTCAGTCCAGACTGTTGAGAAGAAAAGCGGGCTTTGTGCGGTCAAAAGAGCAGGGAACACCATGCGGATTTTCATAAGAGTCTACGGACAAAAAGTCATGTTAGCGAAAGCCCGGCAAAACCAAGATGAAGCACCGCATACCTTGACGATTTGCAACTTTAATCCAACAATTCCTCTCCATTGTGAGGCAATCTCCCCTTGTTTGTGCTCCTCTTCCTCGCTGGGCGGCTGCGGCAGGGGTGCCTTTAAAGCTGTGTCGAAGAACGGCGACCATCCACTGAGCACTTCATCCATGAACTGCTGAATGGCCGCCTTATGTTGTTCCAGGACCATTTCCAGTGTATCGAAACAGGAACGGAAGACTGCGACAGCCAGAGCGCGCAGCATTGGCCGTCTGGACTCCGCGGTAGCCACGGTGAAAAGGGACGAAACGAGATCACGGGCGACATTGAAAAACTGTTCCTCACTGAACCCTGTATCGACAAGATCCAAAAGAACATTCAGCGCACCGTGCATCTGGCCATCGGTACTGGCGGAGTCATTGATTATACGGAGCAAGGAAGGGAGCAGCTCGGGCCAGTCGTCCGGGAAGTCGGCACTGGCGATCTTGCTGACAGCGTAACTTGCAGAGTTTTTCACCTTCCGCTGGGGGGTATCGTTTGTCGCGAGGACCAATAGCGCCTGGCGGACGCTGGCCTTGTTCGCATCGTCGATGAGGATTTGTCCTTTAAATTCGTCGAGAATCGGGGACCAGGCGGCGGCAATGAAGGTACGCAAGACTGAGAGGGCAGACTGGCGTAGGTTGACCGGAACTGACTCGTGCGAAGCGATTGCTGTGAGTGAGATTGCGAAGGACTGGTGGACATAAAGGTTTCCCAGCTGTGACTCTGCGGCTCTTCTGGTATCAGCCTTCGGCGACTGGGTGTCTGCCAGGAGCGACAGGAGTTCTTGCTCCATGGCGAGCGAATTGTAATCAATGAGGCTCTTTGTGGTTCCGGGGGGGGGAATCAGTAAGAGATGAAAGAGAGAAGAAGAAAGGCCTCAAAGCCAATGGTTCTCAATCACGAAGTATTAAGAATCCACTGTTTTGCGCGCCAACAGATAAGGAGACGCGGAGGAGGGGCAGTTCGAAGGCGGTAGGGCCTACAATTGTACATCGCCCCAACTTTCATCGTATCGCACGCATCTACATATGTAGGCAAGCTTCTTCTTTATTTGCATTTGGTTCCAATTTCTCATGTGTGTTGATCATCCACGGGTATTGTTCTTTATATAACTCCCCTTGTCCTTGAGTCCCTGGTTAGACAGTACTGCCTTCGTACAGTGTAGGAAAGGCTAATACTCGTAAGTGTGGTACAATTCCCATTGTTCTAGTAGCACTATTGCTCTAACTATAACATTGAGAAGCAAAGCATACCTTAAAAAACGATATCTAAACAGAGACCTAAGGGATATCCAAAAGGGTGTTATCTTACATTGATATAACGTCCCTAGTATCATCTTGAACCAGATCACCTGGGCAGGTTATTAAAGTCTTACGTCGTCAAGGGCAGAGGCCGCATAAATGACCGACTACATACTCTTGTTGTGGATCATTATATTTCTACATCCATACGTACCAGCCTACATAATATGCAAATGCTAAGAGGTCAAGCTCTACATCAAGCGTGTCTATGTGACGGGATAAACTCAACTTAAGGTGTAGTTGGATAGATAAAATTGTTTCTTAGTTAGATTTCTCTGATCCTCAGTTGCACTAAGTACATATGTACCTATACAGGTAAGTAGTTGGGCTCATTCACAGTGGACACCTTCATTGCCGACTAAAATTAAATCCGAGCAAATGTTTAGAATCAAAATTAGACGTAGTCGATTCGTCTTGGAAGCGGGAGATCACTCCGATCTGCGCTAGCACCCAAGCAGAAAGGTATGTTAAGGATCAAAGTCAAATGGAATAGACGGTGAGAAAGAAACAGAAATTTATTGATAAGGGTTGACCTCCAAAAGCCACATTTTAGGTTTTTTATTGTTCCTTACATACATATGTACTTTTTGGCTGGCAGGGGATTTAAAAAGTATGTTTTAGGGCACGCCTGAGAGAACTCCGGGTGTTCGTTTAACGCTTTAATCTACATATGTAGATGACAAGCTCAATGTCCTCTCCAATGGATGGCATCTCGAGATACGTCACACGATCCCCCAAAATAATTTAATGCCAGGAACCTCCGGATATCAGACCTTCGCCGAGATCTGTCAGACAGTGGACATAGCCCATTGATCCAGTACAGAGTAGTTTACGTTTACCATTTCAGGACCTGCACCATATGCAGCTGACTGCACGGGTCACTGGCCGGTTGAACTGGCGAGCTTTTGTTAAGATCCAGTTTCTAATCTTTTTAGTCGATCTTATTAGGTCGTGGTCCTTCGGAAAACATGGGAGTTCCACTGAACTCGGTGTCATTTTGTGGAAACTAAGACTTGGAAGTTATACGGCCACACAGGGAAATAATATTATCAGTGAGAATAGAATTCAGGATAGATAAAATGTACGTTAAGAGGGTGGGTATGGATACCCATAGTGACTATCATGCAGTGTAGCCCTACTCCGTAGACAGTCTAGCATGCCGTACTTATGCACATATACCCCTCCTAAAGCTCTATAAAGGGTAAAGGGGTACGGAGTAGTACACTCATGGACATTGTAGAAACAGATGGAAGAGATTGATAACCTAGTGCAGGAAGGTTACCTGAGCCTGCATGGCTTTCCAAGTAGAAAGCGAAAATGATATTCTCAGGAAAGTGCACCCTGGTCTTATGACTGCCACTGCCGTCAGTGTAAGAAGATCATTGGGTAAGCCAGATCAATTCGTGACGATACATGGGTCATGTGACCTGCATTGCTGCCTGAATGGTCAGGCTAGTAATGCTTGTTTGCCTGTCTGTGGGGTAGATGTAGATAGCTCTCTCTCTCTCCTCAGTTCTCTCGTTAGCTGGCAATACTGATCGTCTTGACTGAGTTTCTCTTGCTCTTGTGCTCTGATCGCCGACGTCTATCTTCACCCACTTCTGATGCTCGCCTCCCTTTCTTTCAGGCTGCAGTGTCGGCCCTTCTCAGAATTTCTAGAAGATGTCTGCCAGGCGCCATCATTCTTTTACTTTGGTCGTATTTGGCGGCAGTATCGTTGACCCTTACCTGGCTACTGATTTTGTCATGGTCTCAAAAAAGTTCATGGCTGATGGACTCGACCCTACCTGTCTATCCGGGACGCATCTCCGCCTCATCACCGATATGTCAGGTCCCTTCTTATTTGGCCGCGATGACCTGCGGTCGCTGTCCCAGATCTACGATAGCTCCGAGGCTGCAAATCCCTTTTACCGCATCGCTGGGCCAGGCGGTTTGAAGCGCGAGATACTCAACTGGGTCCGCAATGTCTCTACTCGCGTGGTCTCTGGCGACCGAGTCATCATCATTTTCATGGCGCAAGGTCTCCAAAGATCGGATATTATTCTCAACTCGCAGATCGGTACCGAGTATCTTACCAGAGCGGAAGTCACCACGGCACTTGCAATCTTGCCCCAGGGCATTCGGGTTCTCCTTGCTAACGAGGCTTGCTACTCTGGGTCCTGGGCAACGATCGCCGCAGATACTGACTCTGGCCGTGATGCTGCGGTCGCGACTGCCGGGTCAATTGGGGAACAATCGTATAACTACCGCTCCGCATCCGGCAGATACCGCTGCTCCTTGTTCGCAGCAGCATTCATCGAAGAGCTGACAACCCATGCCGAGGGCCGTATTGACCGGCACTATACCAGGATAAGGGAAGAGATGAGTCACGTCTCACCCAACCAGGACAGCTGCACCCTTCTATTGGTTCCATCGAGCAGAAGTCTGTGGTCTCACAATATAGCCCACTTCGTCCTGACTCCAAATATCGCAACCGCTATCGCGAACCTACCATCGGACCAGAGCCGCCATGAATTGCTTCTCCAATCGCGCTCCCAGGCGCAGACATTCTGGGCCAGGCACCGATCCATTCGATTACCAGGGCAGGGGCATGCCAACGAGGCATCAGAGGATTCCGATATGGAGCTCGGGCTCATCCATAGCTACCTCGATGAACTTGGCAACGCAGCAGCGGATCAAAATCGCTGTACACTGGCGACCGCTTGTCATCTTGTTGTCGATGGCCGTGTCGGAGAGGACATGAAACACCGCATTGTCAACACCATTGCGTGGCAGGATACCCAAATGTTACGGGTCTATGGACTTCTCTCCCTTCTCGTTGACGAAGCGCTGATATCACCGCCACTTGATGAAAGGGCTTGCAGCGAGTTGGCCAAGAAGGACTATGAAGCTTGGTTGGAGTTGGCATGAAGGATCTCTGATATCCCCGGGGTCAAAGAGATGGAGATCCCGCCATTCAATGACGATCGTTACATCAATATCGTCTTTGACGATGCCTATGGAAGGTTGGTCGATGCCGTCCTTTGTGAGCAGGTCTTGAACCCCGTGGCCTTCGACATGGGTAAAATTGAGGCCACTACTGTTGCTTTCCTTCAACGATCCCCAGCCGTCTGATCGGACTGGATCTGACATGGACCTATCGTTAGATAGCTTACTTTCTATTCCGAATCAAGAGACTCTATAGTTACAGACTTGGCCGTAAAATTGCCACGGGGTCTTCAACCTTCGTACGAAGCGCTATAGTGATGCTCGTTGTTGTCTCGCTGCCTGATTTCTCATCGCACGCGTGACTCACCTATGTATTCCTTTCCTCCACCCATTCATTCCCTTTCCTTCCTTAATTAATCCTTCTTGTACCTATGTTAGCACCGTCAATCGCTACGATTTGATCGCAACTGTAACAAAAGGTGTATTCTTGATAAGGATGTGTTCAGCGTTAGTAACTCGTGTGATATCATTACTATATATACCACCGCACACAATCTGCTATAAGTCAGCAGAATAGGTTGACTTTTGGGTCTATGTGGGTTTGCGGCGCGACAGTCAACTTATATATGTGAGCATAGTTCCAAGCCAAAATGCTTGGAATCCAAGTCTTTTACCACCTAGCGCAGCATTTATCCTTTGAATGCGCCCCTGAAGGTGGCCGTTCATTGTACCATCAGTAAAACACCGACGAGTAGACAACTTGCATCATAAGATATTCCAGAGGATATTGATCCAGTATGTTTGGGACAAGCTCAAGCCATTGAGGCTTGAATCGGCAATACATGGTCGAACTGCAGAAATCCCAAAACTCAGGGTACCAGCCAGACAATTCCAATCGATCAAGGTGACTCTAAAATTTGTGCTACCACCGTGACAGAGACCACTTCGTTCCACCAGAATATTCTTCGGCTGAAGATCTCCGTAGGTGAAAACAGTGCGATGGTCCTTAAGAGTGCGATCGATCATTTCTCACAACAAACGAATATAACGCGGCGATTCCGTTTGCCCCATTTCCAAGATACCGTCGTTCATTTTCTCTTTGATCCGCTTGCTAACTGGCGCTTTTTCGGCCGAAGTAAACGGCGATAGCAATTTCTACAGGTCGGACCTAGGGATATAATCCATAGTAATATATAAACAAACACTAGCTAAGGGACCCTCAACTAGGGGGGCGGAAGTGAGGTCGCCAAATGAAAATGCGGAAAGGGCTAGTAATTAGGAAAGATAGCGAAGGAGCTCACAAACCACAATTTATACACATATGGTTCACTTTGCATAAGGAAAAATCTTAGTAGCGAGTTAAAAATACCAGCCCCGGAGACAGCAAGGGAATCACGCATTTATTATAGGCGGATTATCTCGGGGTAGTTTGACGCTGAAGTTCTCACGGTCTTAGGCAGATCATTGTATTTGGAGGGTGCTCGAGGGTCACTGTAGCGACTTTAGTGTCTAAGAATCTTCATTAATACATCTTCCGAAGGTATTCCGAGAAATGCGGCTTAAATATAGGCCTAGGCACGTCGATTCATATGTCTCTGAAAGGTGCTGGCATAGACGTGGCCCATCACCTGCGAGAGTAAGGGGAGGGACGCAGTTTCTAAAATAAAGGTTTAGCATTAGTTCTGAACTTACTGTCGACTGCCTCACCAGTACCACGCCGGAGATCGTAAGGTTTTATAGCCCGAATCATCCCGGCGGCTAAGCTTAGCCGCTTAAGAAAATAAAGATAGGTGTGGTACTTGAGGGGCTTTATGCCATGAGTACTCATCCCGGAAGAGGTTGAAATTGGTTGGCGGCAGATAGGCAGGTTGAGTTTCTCTTGTTTGAAATCCAGTTTTACGGAGCGATGCGGGTGGGATACACGGGTTCTGAAAATCTCCTCGAGGGAACGAACGTTACTTTTGAATGCGTCCTCCAGAATTGCCATTGTAAGCATAAGAATTATGACGAAGATATGTTGCTTCACTTCCAACATCAAAAATATCTTTCTTCGGGGTATGGTCAGTCTGATGGAGCACGAGCAAAGCCACGAAATTACTCACCTTTTCGGTCTGCTATAATGGCCCTTGGTATGCTTTGAGTCAATCTCCATTACAAGATGATGGGGGACACCGCCAGGATTTGGTGGTAGAGTCAAGCTGATTTGGCCGTAATAAAGAGGTTTGAGATCCTCGTCCCTTAGGTCCCAACCTTCACTGTGAGCTTCCTTACCATCGTCAGCGTTGCTGAAAAAGTGCCGAATATTGGTTCGCTCGTTCCTTTCGACGTAAACGAGCGCCCCTAGCCAGCTTACGGTATAAGCTGACACCAATAGGAGGAAGGCGAGCTGGATGATTTGTCGACCATCGGGGTAGGGTGTTGTATTTTTATCCAGTGGTGATAGAGCACAATATATAGATCATCAACGTTCATGACGGGCTTCTCTTCAACGGACATATCGAGATTATAATATGGGGCCAGATTCTTTTTCATATACTGTCGCTTCTATGTTGGAATCCAAAAGTATGAGGAAGCGCTAGTCACCCACATCGTTGATGTCCTGGCAGCTCTTCGTATGAAGACCACGTCCTACAGCTTTGCGGTAGAGCGGGCACTATAGCCTCCAGTTCTCATGTAGGCTGCTGAACTTTTTGATATTGGAGTTATCAAGTAGCCACTCTAGAAAGATCACGGCATCCTCTTTGTATGCCGCGACAAGGGATTGGAGAGGATCTTCCCCTAAATGGTCACAGTCTCTGACTTCGCTAGCCTGAATTCAAAATCCAACGCCTAAAGTAAGCTTACGGGTCCTTTCCTTTTAATTAAATCAATGTCGTTGTTAGTTGAAACAGCATGTGGGCTTTGAATAATGCCGTTCTCTAGTTGTTGGCGACACCGCCGATAATACTCGGGGCTAAGCACTTGCTTCTTCTTATTCTTGGAAACAGAAAAGTGTAAAATAGACATGGTCTCAGGTAGCGACAGGCTCAGTTGGAGACCAAGAAGAAAGGCACTGAGACCACGGAAGAGGGAGTATTCAGTGAGCGACTATGGCAAAAGTGGGTCATATATTGTCATGTGATATGTTGATGACCAAGATTCTGGTAAAAAAAAACAGGGACGCTGAAAATGGCGTAAAAGTATCCGTTTTCGCGTCTGATTTACCGTCACTTAGCGTTGTGGTGTAATACAAGAAAACAAATAACATCAAGCAAAATAGCGAAGTAAATCGTTGAAATGGAATTCTGCAAACCCATATTGCACGTGACATAGACCGTGACCCTTCCAACCAACTTACGTCCGCCTTGTCCGCCTTTCTTCTGCTTTTCCCCTCGATGAGAGAGAGTGAGGTACATCCCATCGATTCATCTCTATAACCTCTTTTCTTTTCCCATTATTTTCCAACTTGGGCCCAGCCCTCTTTTTTCCTAAAAAGTATTCGAGGGTTACCGTCTCTCAGAACTTCCCCTCCTTCCCTTCGCTTTAACACCCCTCCTCGAATTCCCCTCCCCAAGGGTTCTTAAATCTAAAAAAAAAAGCGATCACTCTCTTGCACTTGGGATCGTCACTCGGGAATTATATGGTTTTTCTATCCCTCATGCTTTGAGGCTTGCTTCTACTTGTCATTTTGTCCACCCAAGCGTACGTTTCGGATTTCCTTTGCAACACAAACAACCCCCTCCCAACGCCCGATATACCCAACCATCTTTACCCCTCATAGACCTCACTTCCATGCCGCGTTGAGTGACTACATCCTGTTGCTCTACTCACCCTGATCTCATCAGCTATATTATCCTGCGGATCATCGTGACCCGCCATCTCGCTGGCCGGAGTATCGGGGGACCAAAAAACTTTGACCGATTCCAATACATAAACCACACCCGGAATTTTATTGGACGTGACGTTGACCGATGGCTTAGAAAGGTAGAGCGATGATTAGCTTTAGGGTGGAACATCATTCAGATTCCTCGAGACTTCGTCAAGACCACCCTCACCGCGGAAACGATACCGAATCGTTCGACGGCAATGCCGATTGCCAGTGAGAGCAGTAGTACCACTACCACCACCATGACCACTTTCTCCGCCCCGGTCCCTGCTACCAAATCGCTGCCCACAAATCAGTCAGCGCTAGCGGCTTCCTTCACCAATTTCCTCACCGTCTCCGTCCATCAAATCCTATTTCTGCGCTCCGTCTATCCGCGCGCAACCTTCCTCCCCGTGCGGGCATACAACTATCCCGTCCGACAATCTCGTCACCCAAAAGTCTGTGACTACATCAACGATGCTTCAATCGCAGTCGGAACGGAAATTCTCAAAGGCACAATCACCGCAGTCAGTATCATCATTTCATCTCTTCGCACAAATCAGCCCCTGGAACGATATGCCTTTGATCTGTCGGGCTTCCCGCGTGCGCCTGCGGGAGAGGTGAACACTACATTTGAAGACAGAAATGAAGATTCATCTAATCCAGGTGCCCCTGTCTCAGACCGGGGGCCCGCACCAACCTCGGTCGACCTCGAGGCGCAATTCCGAGCATGTCTAGCGAGACTCGCCTCAGCCTGTGCCCGTTTGACCCCACTTCCCCGCGATGACGAGTTCAGTTTCACTGTCTGCATTGAAGTACGGGAAGATGCTTTACCACCAGCGGGGACTACCAAGGAAGAACAGACTTGGATTGTGGCGGAACCAGGCAAGGTGCACCTACGATCATGCACTGCGCCGTTTTCCGTCTCTAAACTGCGGAACGGCGAGCCCCAGCAAGCGCCCCCCAAGGTTTCGAATGGCCGTGCCAAAACAGTACCCGTACGACGTGTTGAAGCTGGCGAGCTTCGGTTGGAGTTATGGGTAGAAGAGGCACGACAGAAATTTAACGAACCGGTGGACTCAGAGCAGCCGCCATGACCTCGAAATTCTCCGATCCTATTTCAGGCCTTGGGGGGAATTCATGTTCTTTGTTTTCACATCTTTTTATCTTTCCTATCTTTTTTACCCCCCTGTCTACACCCAAATTCTGTCTCATTCTTGATTTAGCGTGACCAATGATCGAACATACATGATGGACGAAGGAAATTCTGGAATTGCCGTCCGCAAGTGGCGCAAATACATAAAACGGGGAGCGGACGACTTTTGGGACTCACATGGCATTTACTTACATAGATCAGATTCATATCTTTCCTTTTTGGTACTTCATTCCCAGGTGCTCATTCTTCTCCCCATGCTCTTCTTCTCATTCTCACTTTCATGACGCTCCTTCTCCATCCTTCTTTTCTTCTTTTCCACTGGGCTTTTTTATAGCTTTTCGTTTACCTCATTTTGCATCTTGCTTGATCCCTTGGGTTCTCTCTCCTCGCTGATCTTTATTGCTGCGGTCCGGCCTTTTTTTTCATACCATCTCCCATTTTTCCGTTGTATTTCATTTGTCTCCTTTGTTGAAATCAACTACGTGATTCTCTTTTCTAGCCAATTCAACTATACTAGCAACTAGTTCCCACTGTCGTCTCGTTATGTTTTTTGCGTTTTCCGTGTCTGCTCTTATGCTAATGAGCCCAGTGAATGATTCCGTTCGAATGAAGGTCCATAATGCCATAATGTCTTGTGTCACAAATTTGATCTGATGTTGGTTTTTCCGTGTTTTTGTCGTTTGATTTACGTTTCACCTGCTCTGTCTATGTTCGCTGCTCTTCTGCTTAATGTCCTGGTTCTGGCTGATGAAAATAAGCCGCTCAGCCTTCGGGGGTGACTACCTAGGTATGTAAGTGTGCTAGCAAGATATTCCAGTTTAGGTTAATCGATGATGTTGAAAGCGAAATACAGGGAGCTATGCTCTTGTGCTCCGTCTACAAGGTGAGGCTGAGCAAACGTTCTAACAAAAGGAATGTGGCAAAGACGTTTGACTGCAACTATTTGAATCATCTATTACGGGAGACGCTACACGGGCTCGTTTTCCGACTAAAACTGCATGGCCGAGGGTTATGAGGGTAGATTAGACCGACATTAATACTACGAGAACTAGTGGAGTTATTGAAAAGGATATAAGTACCCAAATAGAAATTCAACCAGCTTTATGCTAGCTGACATATACTATTCACCGCATTCAACAGGGCTTCAAACTGCCTGCTTATAACTCCCGTGCCAAGTCAAGTCGTGATGCGTGAACAACCAGCCCTTTGTGTTGACGTTTGATGGATAGCCGTGGGTCGAGGGATGGTTGGGAGATAATCTCTATATTGTTGAATAAATTCAAGGCCAAGTCCTTCTACGAAGTCCAAATCCGAATTTTAGTCTGAATGTTGGTAGAACTGAAAAGAATGTTGGTTTCAGAAAAACGGTAGTACATAATACGTCTACTGGTAACATGTAACTAACTACATATGCACATATGTATGTAGTTCAGTGATCTACTCAAGTAAAGTAGTATGTACAAAATTGGTCGCGTGAGGTCCAGTTCCCCACACAATGATTAAAAAAAGCTTCGTTCCACGCGATATATATACTTTGGATACGGAGTAGAATATCAGACTTGCAATTTAAAATGAAGGTCAACGCACAGGTTGCTCCGTACGCGTTAAATAAATAAATACAATGACATAATCGCCAAGGCTCACATGACCCGCCAAAACCCTCCGTGAGAGGCAAAAGACCGGCTCTTACGTCAAGGGGCTATAAGGACTAACGCAATGCAACCTCCATCGCTTGCCATCGCTTTGCTTCGGGCCAGTGACAAAGAGAAACACGATGTGCCTCTTTACTTTTATTTTGTACGTAGAGGGCAGGCAGATCCGGCCCGGATCACGATGCGGAATGCGAGGTGAGGGGATAGACATGGATTGGGTATGGTTGGTCCAATTGTAGTGATTAGATCGGGAGAACATACTATGTTCGTGTGACCGGTTATCTTGGGAATGGAAATTTAGAAACCTTGGAACGACCAGTATATTATGACATTGGGGCCCCGTCGGTCCACGGGTATCTTTTGGGTTTTTCCTTTTTTGTCTTCGGAACGTTAACTTTGGACTTTAACCCCGGATTTCTCTTTATTATATCTCCGCACCTGCCCTTGGTTTCCCCTTCTCTACTTCCCCAATTTCAACAACTCATACTTCAACTCTTCTCAACTCGACATGATTGCCGCAGAGATCCCCACCCTCCCCGCAGGGGAATCCCCAGAGCTGATCCTGGTCCCAGCCACTGCCTCAGAGCGTATTGCCTCAATCAAGTTGAATAGCGTCGCCTGGAAAGGGCCCCTAGATGTGGAAACGTACATAGAGCGCGAGAACCATCTCCTCCAACAACGGCTGACACGCGATGGCCTAACCTGCTGGATCCTAGTGGACCGTAACGAGCCCGAGGACAAGCGCACAATCCTCAGCTCATGCGAGTCGTACCGAAAGACAGCGCTGCTCGCGCATAACGGGCAGGTGGAGAAGGTCTCGACGCACGGCGTGGGGAGTGTCTACTGCCGGCCTGATTTCCGCGGGAAGGGGTACGCAAAGCGGATGCTGGAAGAGCTGAGCACTAAACTCGAGACGTGGGAGATGGAGAAAGAGCCGCGGCGGAAGTCGCTTTTCACGGTGCTTTTCTCCGATATCGGCAAGAAGTTTTACGCTCAATTTGGATGGCGGCCGTTCTCGTCTTCCCATATGTCTTTACCGGCTACTGCGGGTGCGCTGGAGAAGGCTGTTACGAGGGATCTATTTGCTGAGGATGTTCACCAGTGTTTGTGCAGTGAGACTGTACTTGCCAAGCTGCGCGAGCAGATGCGCCTGGCGTCACAGAAGACAAGCGGTGCCAAGATTGCCATTTTGCCTAACTTTGATCATTTTGTCTGGCATTGGGCTCGAGAGGAGTTTTATGCCGAAAACTTGTTTCCCGAACGCTCCCCGCCTGTAGTCAAGGGGGCTGGCGATGACGAGGCTCGCGTGTACTGCGCTTGGAACCGGAACTTCGGCGAGACAGCCGAGGATAATGTCCTCTATATTCTTCGGTGGGTGTATGATGACCCCACCTCTCCGGCAGAGGAGCAGGCCACTGTCCAGGCTATGGCTGCTATCCTCCGGCGAGCACAACAAGAGGCGCACGAATGGAACATGAGCAAGGTCGAATTCTGGAACCCTACTCCTCTTTTGCAGAAGGCTGTGGCTTTGGTGGATCCGAAGGCTGAGCTTGTGCACCGCGAAAAGGAGAGTATCGCCAGTTTACGATGGACTGGCGAGGAGCAAGGATTGGGCAAGGATGTGGAGTGGTGGTTGAATGAGAAGTACACTTGGTGCTAATAATTCATTCGTTAGAGCATCATTTCGAGGTTTGTTTCTTTGTTTGCTCGTGATTCTTCCCTTTTTTGGAAGCACGGGATCGAGGCGAGTTTGGGCGGCAGATACGATCGTGATGCTTCTAGATACGCGCGCATCATAGATTAGATGCCATGCATGTTACGCAGCAAGTGCGTTAGCTTTTTCTTTCTTTTTCCAATCAACGGTGACCTTTGAGCAGTTCGTGCCAATTTCTGGTATTCTTAGCCTTCGCGGCTGTGATTGGTGCAGAGGCGTCTTTTTTTGTTGGCTGCCGTTGCGAGGGTTCAACAAAGCAGATAGTCGTAGGGTCAGGGCTGTTGTAGCAGCCATTCTGTAGTCAAAATCAGCTATTGCGCCGTAGCTCATGCGGGGAAGGTCAAGTCACCGGTAATGTTGTCAGCGCTGCCTCTCCTCTCCATGTCTCAGGCAGAGATTCCTTCCACGCGCGAAGGAATTCACTTCTTCCAATAGCAGACGATGTAGTCGGAGCAGTGGCAGCCAAGTATGTCTCGCCAACCCATTGTGTACATTCAACCTTATCAAAGCTCGCCCCTAGAGAACAGCACGAAATCGTTAGCAAGCCCGATACCTGTAACCACCTTCCACCGTCCATTCTAGACTCACATTTAATATCATCCGCCAAAGGCGGCCGCTCATCCGCGATGCAGATACGCCTCACAACAGCCTCCAGCAACGCACGCGGGAACGGCGGCTCCATCTCCTCATCATCATCCAAAACAGACTTCCACAAGTCCCCAACAAGGAACTGCTTCTCAAGATTGATGCCCTGCAAAACAGCACCCTCGACTAACCGCTTCCAAACAGCCAATCGAGACCGCGCGGAGGGCCGCCAACACGCCACCCCCTCAGCCCCATCCACAAACGCACAGAGCTCCCTCCAGCCCTGCTCGCACTGGGCCATTGACACAGGGATATCCTGACACACATTCTCCCTGGCCATGCGCATCTCCTTGGATCCCAGCGGGGCCGTGGAGTCAGCGGAACTGCCCATCGCTATGTCCCCGTCATCATCGCTGCGTCGATCATACAGCCGCAAACTCTTCTCCAGGAACGGAATAGCTGAGAAACCTCCCGGCGGAACGTGCAATTCCAGCGTCGACGAACACTTTGCAAGGGCGGTTACGGCTTCATCTGGGAGGTTCAATGCACCGCTTTCGCCGGGTTCTTCTTCAACGACTTTGATGTCTGCTTGGGAGATCTCGCCGCGGCTCGGGCGGAGGATGTGTAGGGAGTTTGAAGATTGTACTTGGCGGATACGGTAGGTTTGTATTGGTGTGCATAGGTTGACGTAGTCGTGGGTAGTGGGGTCGATTACTGCTTGTGCGAGGGCTGTAGAGGGCGACTTGAGTTCTAGTCTGGTGTGTGTCGCGGGTTAGTCGAGGGCTGCTAATTGGGAATGGGAGAGGTCTATTTTGCGCCATAGCAGTGCGCGGGCTGCTTCCAGTCTGCTTGGACCCCTCTCCTGCGTCAACTTACAGAGGTGCATCTTTCGATGTCAGTAGTTCTTCCAGCTCTGGGGTTAGTTCCAGTAACCGGAACCCTTCCTGGGGGCGGGTGTGCGTGAAAAGGATACTGCGCGAGCCTTGGGTAGACATTGCAGGTTACAATGTGTATAGAGTATGCAAGTTTGCTTAGCAAGGTTGAGGATCGGGCCCCGGGGGAAATGAAGCATCAACGTTCGGACGCGTTGACGCGAAGTGGAGACACACGGACCACCGCCTCAGAGGTGTTCGGCTTCATCCGAATGTGTACATACTAGCCATTGGGGATTGGAGGGTCTTTATGCTACAGTTACATTATTGGGCCAATTTAAACGTCGTATATTACATCGTCTACATGTTTCGCATAGCTCCATCTTTTTCACCGCACATATTCTACATTTTGCGGCTAATACTTTTTGTACTTCCAGCTGTAACACCAATAAGAGAATGAGACCAAAAATAGGACATAAAAAGGACATCGTAGAATAGTCTTAAGCCAAATAGGTCAGATAGAAATGCATCGTCAAAGGCAGAGGTTGTAGAGAATACATTGAAATCAAATCTTCAATGTTTTGCTTTTGAATGGCCAAATTATTGCTCCCCATGACACGCCAACCATTATGTTTCGTTGTGACGCCGTGAAGAAGAGAAATGTCCCCCAAAGATATTAAAAAGCATATGCAAGAACGGAACAAAAATGAAAAGCAAAGCTCCTACACTGGCAGAGCTTGGGCATAAACATGCCCTAATCTAAACAGACATTCAAGTCGCATGTGAGAATGCAATGCGTAATCCAGCCGGCTGGATCAAAGAAGCGGCCGCTTGTAGGAAGGAAGGGGTGAGGGAAAGCCAGTGGAGGATCATGGTTTGGCTTTCTTGACTACTTCGGCATTCTCAGCTTGCTCGACCGTCTCAGCTTGGGCTTTCAAGTGACCTTGAGTAGAATCAATGGCATCTTTCATGGGCTGGGCAGCCGGGCCTTCAGCCGAGCCTTGTACTTCTTCCCCGTCCACAATCTGATCATCACCTAGGGACTTGGCCTGGGTGCTCTCCTTTTGCTCGGCTCGCTCTTGCTCTTCCTTTTCGCGAGCGAGTCGCTCCACTTCCATTTCTTCCATATGCCGGAGGTCATCAACACTGGGCTCATATAGATGCCAAATAGTGTAGTGTGGCAGTCCTATCACCGAGAACTTCATCCGTTTAGCCATCTAGGAAACATCAGCAATTGGAACTACGGCCTCGTTGACTGCTGTCTTACCTTGCCAAACCCTTCCGTCTCGGCGTGCTTCTCGAAACTGAAGGCTGGGAAGTGCACACCAGCACGGAACACCCGAGCCTTGGCCAGGATACTGACACCTCCGATCCCGTCTAGCTCCATCTCCATGTCTGGATCACCGTAAGGATCGCGGAGGTAGGCAAGGTGAGGTCTCCATGTAGCGTACTCGGCGTATCCTTCCACGATGACGGCGTCCTCGTCCAAGGAATCCGCGAGCGCCAACGCAGTCTCGGATTCTTGCCAGGAGTTCAGATCGTAAGGCTGCTCTCCGCCAAGCCAATCTGGAAGCGGGCGCCAAACATCTAAAGACGACGCCAGTTAGTATAGATCCCAATGCCCAAGAAATATTCACCACTCACTGGGGACTGTAACATCTTTGTTGTGCCGCATTAGATCCTCAATGATCGTGAACGGAGCAGTCTCCACGTCCGCATCTCTCCAGTAGACCCAGCTGTGCGTTGGGCGAAGCGTTGCGCTCAGTAACCAATTCCTCGCCTGCGCCATCAGCTTACGTCGGCTGGCCTGCGCCTCGAAACCGTGTCGACTTTCCACGTCCTGTTGCACTTTCTGCCCGAAATCCTTCTGGATCACCGAGATCTCCCCATAAGGCATTTTCGGGTCCGGGTCATTTTGTATATCCTCCAACATGCGCGACAGCATGCCTAGGGTATCATCCCGAGAGTCCGACACCAGAAACGCCAGATCAATTAGGTGATGTGGGTACGTGAGGTTTCGAAGGTGTGAGAAAAACATCGGGAGGTGCGACGAGGCATCTCGGAGCGGAGTGCACATCAGGACACGCTCTCCACGTTCCCAGCCCTTCTCCGTCCCTTGCACTTCAGATAAATCATAATATCGGACCGTCTGTAGGTGTAGATCTCCGGGGTAAGAGAGAAGGCCGAGCGAGATGGTGGGAAGGATGGCGGCGCGCCAGGATGGGAAGATCAAGAGGAACAGCACTAGCGACACACCGCCGAGGAGGCAGAGGCGCTGGAAGAGCTGCCGGCGTCTCCGAAGGGCAGGTTGCGAGCGAGGCTGGAACCTGGGGGCGGAGGCATACTAGTCAGTCTCGATTTCAAGCTTCGTGATCTGGCATGACGACAGGGCTCCGAACTCGGATAATGAGAAGCGAGCTGCTTAGCTCGGACTCGGCTTACCTGTTCGGTGAGATTGAAAATGCAGAACCCCTGGGGTAGGCAGAGTGGCCCTTTTCGAGGACGTGTCGGTTCATCGCGGGCGCTGTCATGAGCCGTCGAGGCGCTTATGTCGGGGGCCAAGAACTGATGTAGCGGCTGGAGACCCCTAGTGGCCACCCCGATTTTAAAAAGGCCAGACGTAGAAGGCTCGAATGGAAATAATGAAAGTCTTATGGGAGGATTCAAATAACAAAAAAAAGCAAAAGCAAAAGCAAAAGAAGCGAAAGGGCCTCGGAAGACTTGGTGATGTGATCCAATTCTCACACTGTTGTGGTCTTCACCAAATCCGGTCATCCGCTTGCAATCACCGTTCCCCTGCACAATATAGATGAGACTATAAGTACTTTGTAACATAATTTAGATATAATTGAAGTACATAACAGATTAAATGCTTTGATTTTGCCAATTGGCTTCGCTAATTTTATATACAAAAGTATTCCCCCAATGCTAAAATGTATAGATAATTTTGTCCCTTCACAGTGAAAGCGTAGGAGGCGACATCATGCTCAACTGAGGTCGAAGAGGAGCAGGAGAATCCATCTCCTTTGCTTCCACTTCAATCATTTGCATCATCTGTATTAATAGTTTGTTCGCTTTTTCCCCATCACGCAAGCTCGGCAAGACGGATGCAGCCTCGTAGTCACTGTCGAGAATAAAGTAGCGTTCCTTTTGCCAGTTCTCCACCGTGTCGATCTGGAATGCAACTCTGGCGATCGCCTTGGCTGGAACACTGGCCTTATTCATGGAGCTTCGGGATACCATGCGCAGGAATGGCCGAAGCCCGGACCGAGTCTGGTGTGCGACTCTGACCGACATAGGCGCCCCAGTCCGCAGATTGCTCTGGCCAGTAATACCTCCCGGATCCAGGGTAAAGATGTCAAGCGATATATCACCGGTCTATAATTAGATTTTATTAGTAGACTGTAGGAGGCATTGGAAATCGGAAAATGACACCGATCAAAATGGCAACTTACCCAGATCAAACTCCGCCTCAATGCATACAATGCGACACTCCCCATTAACTTGCTACTCCCCAAACGAATTTTCCCTTCTTTTGCACTCAGCGCAGTTCCAGGTCGTCTTCCATTTCTTCCATGGCCGCGGTCGAAGTAATCCAATCTTCCGGAAGATGTCGCAGAACAGCCGATGTTGATCACCTTCGCTCCGCCCTTTGGTGTACCATCTCCAGCCCGGAAAGCCTCAAGCAGTCCAATGGTCAATAAAAAGGGGGACAGACAATTTGTCTGATACACCGGATCATAGCCATCTGATGTGAGGTCACCAATAACGTAAGATGTAGCGACAGCAGAGTGAATCAGACTGGCCACAGGCGGAATGTCTCTGAAGCGAACACGATCGACGGTGGCTTTGGAGAAAGATGCCACAGATTTCAGATCGGTGAGATCAAGGGCGAGAACCTCGATCGATCTGGGGCCGATCAAGCGGATCTTCCCCATCAATTCGCGGACATCATCGGTCTTTATATCCCGTGCCGTCAACAATAGATGGACGAAAGGTTGCTTCTTCGCAATCTCAATGGCAATCTCTGAACCCAACAACCCATTTCCTCCAGTAATAATGACCGTTTCTGTTAGTGGGGTACCCATGATGCCGGCTTTCTGTTAGGCAAGAATCCCCGAGGGTATAGACCTAGGCAGAGTTCCACAGTAGGAAAAAGCAGTGGTCAAAAGAGCACCTGTAGTACTAGGTATTCGATTCCAATTATAGGGATGATAAAAGACAATGGAATATTGCGCGACAAAGGGAATTATCACTAGAAAGGGAGTTGTCAAAGCGTAGCCCAAGAGAGATATATTATATACCTAAAAGGTGGGATCTAAAAATTCTCCAACCCGCCCCATCGCTATGGATCCATACAGTAGAATGGGCCAATGAATTATATCAGACATTAGCGGTGTCATGTCTCAGGTCACGGCTGAGGCGTGTTTTCCCAGAAAACGACGATACTGACCCTATTGGATCAATCAGATGCGAGCACTAGCGATGTGCTGCCTTAGTGTCAAATAACGAATGGCCACCTTATGATCTTCCAGATGTCCTGCCTGATGCGTGGCATGGCGACTAAACGACCAAATTTTCTTTACGGAGAACCCTTGCGGTAAATGCCGTGAAATTAGAACCAAAAAAACAATGGGGATCAATACTTCTTAATACTGAAGTAGGTTAGTCCGTACCATCGGCGTGGAGACTTGTGCCGCGAACCCATCCCGAATCTCGTTCCCGGTCATAGATGGATGCGAAATAAAAGATCTGGGCAATGTCTCGAATAGAGGTCTAATACTCCTACTATGTGCCTAGTCAATATTCGGAACATTTCCCGGTTTAGCCAGGAGGAGTCAAGTAAAAAGCGCACTCTTTCCCCACTGCCAGCAATGCCCATCTTTCCCCTAACACAGTCAGCCAAGGGCAGCCCCGGGATCACCCCACGCTGTTCGTATTACTGCAAAGTAACCATAAGAATGTATAATAAATCATTACCAGATATAGCCAAGGCTGCATTAACGTTCCGTGAAACATAAAAGAAAAAAGAAAAGAAAGCTAAAACAATGGGAGTTTCAGACAAAAAAGAAATGGCGCCACCCGGGGCTAACACAGATCATGGAGTCGCCACTGTTCCTGTGATAGTTGCTCATAATACTGCATTACAACTGCCTTACTATATACAATTGGACTGGGTTACGTGGTTCTTAGGGTTACATTAAAAAGTAAGTACATATGTACGAAGCATCACTGCTAATTAAGACTGGTTTTAACCGGAGCCCTATTTAAATATTTCTTGTCTTATAATGTTGGATTTTGTCTTTGTTGGTAGGTTAAATAGTTATATTGGTTGTGTTGTTAATTGTAGCACTACTTAATCAAAAGCCAGATGTACCTAACGAATGGCGAGAACTACGTCAATGGCTCGGGTTATTATGATCATTTACTAGTACATATGTATTGCCTACCTCTTTGGCTGAGCCGACTATAGCCCTACTGCATCCCAAGACAAGAAATGAGTCCGACTGCGCCTAATCTATCTAGCTGGACTATCCCCAATTTTATATACTGTGGCTAGCATGTACAAAGCGTGACGCATAGTCCAGGTAGTTATGTAAAATAATACGTGAATACATCATGGATGTGAAGGAAATTAATCGAAAATTGAAACACACCAGACAGACCGAGACCCATGAGCTAACCGCGTGCTTTATGCAGAAATGTCGACCAGGATCTTTACATGCTTATCTCTCTCTTCGATGAGAGCTTTGAACCCTCTCTCATCCACATCCTCCATTCGGATCTTACTTGTGATCATCGGGCGAGGCTGAATAGCACCTGTACCAAAGAAGCAAGAGGTCAGCAAAGGGGCAGCTACCTAATTAGGAAAGACATTAAACTGGGTAGTAGCCGAGCATACCGGAAGCAATCTCATCAATCACAGCCTCAAAGTCCCCACCATCATAAAGAGCAGCCCCTATGACATGCTTCTCCTGGAACACAACAGCAAAAGTATCAATAGTAGGCCTCTGCTCCCACAAGGACACGACGACCGCCGTCCCACGCACCCGAAGTCCAGTGATCGCAGTGTCAAGCCCACCCTGAGCTCCGGAACACTCAAACACCACGTCTGCACCCACATTCCCTGTCAAGGCACGTATCTGCGTAACCGCATCCATATCAACGGGATTAAGGACCTCAGTGGCGCCCAGGGCCAGGGCAAATTCGCGTCGTCGCTCAGAGACCTCCACAGCAATAATCGAAGGAATACCTTTGACTTTCAGTACCTGGATGATAGCCAGACCGATTGGTCCAGCCCCAACCACTAGTACCGTGTCATTTATCTGCAGAGGGCTGCGGCTTACGGCGTGCCATGCGACGGCGAGAGGTTCCACCAGGGCTGTATCACCACCATGCCGTCAGAGCTGAAACAAGTCAAACACAACTTCAAACGGAGAAGTCTATTCTTACCACCGATGTCGAGTGGAATGGAGTCCGGTAGCAGAATCGCTTGTCTGCTGTCCACGACTATGTGGTCCGATAGACCACCTGCCTGACCTTGTGGCCGTTAATATGGAGACCTGGCTGTAGTCCTTGATATGGCTTATATGGCTTACTGCTGAATCCGATGAATCCCACCTTCTCACAGCAATTGAACCTGCCCATTGCACAGTTCGAACACGTAGCGTCGAAGAGGTTAGGCTTGACTACAACCCGATCCCCGACCTTGAACCCTGTAACGCCTGAGCCAACCTCTTCAACTGTGCCACTGAACTCATGGCCTAGGGTGGTCGGCAGCTTCCCGTCGGTTAATGGGTGCGGCGTGACAGGGACGATCGTTGGGCCAGTAAGATACTCATGGATATCTGGATTGGATTAGAGGTGACTAGCTAGCAGCGGGTTTCGAGCATGTTACTTACCGCTGCCACATATTCCGACAAAGGCAGGGCGGATCTGTTAATATCAAGGTTCGTTGTTAGAGACTCAGCCTCGGAGGTTACGTTACGAAAAGCACAAGCAGTAATGTAAGCTTGCCTTGACCTTGCCATTACCACAAATTGGCTCTTCAACCTCATCAATGCGGATATCACATCTTCCATGGAAGCGTACAGCTCTCATGATGGACTGTTGGTGTGTTGCAGAACGGACCGAAGAATAGAGTCTGCTAAGGGAAACAAAGTGAGGGGTAATAAAGAGATTCTAAGATTGAAATGTTAACAAATATAAAGAAATGTGCTAATTCAATATATATGAGTGATACCATCGGTTGGGCATGCCCTGTTATTACACCTCCTGACGAGACCCCGCAAAAGAAAGACAGTCACGGGGCGTCGTTCATCTACACCACCAGGAGAAGAGATCGATGGCAAACACCCCTGTCTATCTAGATTTGCTGGGACATGTACAACTGATGTTGATGCACATGACCTAGGGCGAGCGCTCTCTGCGGGGGTGCCCGATGTAGAGGGACAAGTCTGACAATGGGCATATCTGCACCCCAAAATACGAATAGTGCTTATAACAGATCCGTTTAAAAAGTGTAACAAAGATAACAACGTAGAGATGGATCCAAAACCAATCGAATTCGTTACTCTAGAGACCAGCTCCAATTTTCGAGTACACAACTATGTATCCTGGCTCTTGCGAGTGAGAAGGCTCTTCAAAGCATCCGTTTCACCTTCGAGCTTCGAACATCGAAGTCTCCAATCATCTCGTTCCTTCCGGACCTTCTCCAACTCGGCTTCAAGTTCCTTCATCCGGTCCACACGTCTCTGCCGACACCTCCGCGCTGCGAGGGTGTTGAGTTTCCGCTTTTCTACCCTTGATGAGTCAACACGACTTAGAGTATCATCGCCTTGAGAGGTAGAGGGGCTGGAGAGAGAAGTAGAGATGGGAGCAGGGAACGGGGAGATAGGGGAAGGATGCGAGTGGCCATCTTCTAAACGTTAGAAACTAGACCCCATTGACTTGATTGGACAATATCATACCTAGTGAATTGGCGGAGCTAGGAGCAAGAGAGGCAGAAACATAGTTTTGGTGCTCGATTGAGCCGGAATCCGAAAGAGAATTGAAAGCAGAGACAGACCCATACCCAAGGTCCATGACAGGGACATCGCCACCATCATAGTCAGGAGGGTATGGCGTCGAATGGTTCACAGATATGAAATTCCAGTCGGTATGAGCAAAGGACAGATCGGGTTCTGCCCAGAGTGCCGACTCGTGCGTGAGGGTATCGAAGGATTGACAGACTGGCACAGCCGAGGGAAAGCCTTCCAACGGCGGCGCCAGCGATGAGAAGAGGTCGTTATCACTGTACGGATGAAGACTCGCCCATGGCGAATATTCAGCAGGCCCTTGATGGCGTTCCTGCGTGCCGGTGCTGGGCGGGTTGGAACCAGTAGGTGGAGATCTGGATCGCTGCCGCGGCGCTCGAACAACCGCAGGCGGGCATCGCTGGATTTCTTAGACGGGCCTTTGCAGACCCGTGACGCTCAATATGAAGGCGATGAAGGGGTACCCTAGGGTAACTGTGAATAGGGGTCGACTCTGTCGGAGTCGTGTCCTGAGGAAGAAATTGAAGGACAAGGCCAGGCCATATAAAAGAATCGGAAGATCAAGGGATGAACCGCAGCATCACATGGGCCCACAGTAAGCATCATGCGATTGGTTGCTTATCGGCTGTTCCCCCACGACTCATTATGACTCATTTTAGCGTCATTCAATTGACCAATCGCAGTGAATAATTAAGATACGCTAATACAGTTTAGGATAAGCCCTTGGAGTGCCACTTCCAACCTTGGAACCTTGGAAGGCTGATGAGGTTACATTTACATATGGAAGCCCCTCGGATTGGAATTATGCATAAAAAGAAATTCAGAAGACACGCTGGCACGATACGGACTGCCAAGAAGACCCTCTAGTTTACTGTCGAACAGATGCCACTGTGATTCAGTGATCATTACAAGTTTGGACTGTCATCGTTCCAAGGAGGAAGATGCCGAAAAACTTCGCATAAAAGCTTAGACTGACTATTGTAGTCCATAAAGACAACCCATACCGCAAGATATCAATACCAAGGTAAAGATAGATTATTGCATGATGATCAGCTCTACAGCCTTCATACATGAATGGTTGTGATATCTGCCAGCGATATCATCCTCAACCACCACCTCGGTTCTTCACAGTATGTCGTTGTGTAATCTTGCTCCATTGGATCCAACAACAACCAAGACAATCCAAGCAGCATGCAGTTTTTTTTGGATACCTCCATGCAAACTCTCGATGGTCCGCCAGGCTCCGGCCCGATGAGGTGGATCTTATTAATTTCATCGTCGTGAATTATTCCGAGCCAGGACAGACCAGTATCAGCAGCTCTGGCGTGTCTATTTCCACCATTCGAAACTTCGCGTCGACTACATCGAGCCAATTCCCTTTCCCGAAGACATGGTTTACCCATAGAGGACGAGCGCAAAAGGCAGCGAAAATCTTCCTCATAGACGCCAAGCGAATCTTCAAGACAGATGCTTTTCATGATTGGAAGAAACAAGTCTGCAGGGCATCAATACTTGATCTGCCTAACGAGTTGTTGCAGCTCATTGCAGCTCTGTTACCGGCAAAGTATCTCGCTAGACTTTGTCAAATGAATCGCCGTCTCTACAACGTGACAAGCCTTGAACTTTGGAGACCGCTGGATATGGCCCTCAAGGCACTGACATGGAGCTTGGACCGCTGTCAGCTGGCAATGTTCGAAAAGGCAGTCGAAGCACTCTCGCAGATGCCTGAAAGAATAGGTAAAGAGTCCACGTGGAAACTGTTGCCTACGAGGGACCACAACAATATCCATACGAAGAACATATACTATCTTACAAGGCAAACAGGGAACGTCAATAATGGTCACCTTTTGCTCGAGCACGGGACTGACCCGTATATGCACATATCCGACAAAACATCGGCACTTTATGTGGCAGTCTCCCTGTGCAATTCCATGGGCAAGTCACATATGGTGACTGAATTGATCAAGCATGGCGCCAATGCAAACGCAGTCGGCCCCCGTGGAGAAACACCTTTTCACGTGGCCATTCGGACAAGCTAGAACAACCATTGTCCTGATTCCCACGCTCACTGCGAAGATACAATCAAGGCCCTTCTTCAAATTCCAGGCATTGACTTCGACCTGCGTGACGATAATGGCCGTACACCTTTAAGCATTGTTGCCGGTACCAGAACCCGCTCTACTTGGCTTGCGAAAAGATTGCTTGAAAATCCCAATGTTGATATCAATTCTCAAGACATCCATGGGAAATCGGTACTATATCATTCGGTGGAGAGTGGAAACGTAAGAATTGCCAAGCTATTGCTGTTGCAGAGCCACATCGACCCGAATGCCAATACTACGTACTTGCCTTTGTTTTTTGCTGTTTCGAATCGTAAAGAAGCCAGGGTGCGGAGCTTGCTACGCACAAAGGCAACCGACCAATGGGGGTCTCGCTTTGACATTGCCAACTTCAAAAGAATATAAAGAGGCTGCTTATCGAAGCTGGTGCTGAGCTGGATATTCGAGATAGCACAGGTCTAACTCCACGAGAAGCGATCTTGAAGCCAGGCATCGATCTTCAGCAGCTAATGCGCCCACGCAAGCCACGCAAGAGAAAAAGACTATATTAGCCAAATTTGTTGCCCTTTCCATTGCTAGATTGCTTTAGGATCCGGGGTGGGTACTGGATGGCTGCTGGAATCTTTCAGGTCTAATTTCTCAATTCAATTTCTCAATGTCCACAGAGGCACAAGTATAAGAATTACCAATTAAGGATAGTACATGTAGTGTTATTCATTTACTACCTCATTATGACCACTCCTGGGCAGTCTTCTTAATCGACAGAATCGTATTCCTCCGCCTCCGACAACCCTTGCCGTCTCCAGAGAGCACAGAAATACCATCTGGCAACATGACGAAATCAGATATCCCGACTCTTCCAAAACTGCCAGCGGAAGCCATTCGTTTGGCCCACCTTCTCGAGGCCTTCTTTCAAGCAGAGAGATCGTGGACTGGTTCTTTACACCAGGACCAGAGAGTTCTGATTGCATTTATTGCGCAGAACTATGACACGGGATCTACCTTCGCAAAACTAGCCACTCAGTCAAACAATAAGCTTGGCTGCTATCCTAGGATATGGACACACAAGGATTACCGAGTGAAAAAAGCAATTCAAAAGACGGTTGATCTAGCCTCGCCGCTGCTGGAGCGATATTGCAGGTCACAACTTGGGGGGAAATCAATCCTTGACCTACCCGCGGAGCTGATACTGCTTATTGAGCTTGAGCTATCAGACAAGGAGCTTTACAATTCTTGCAGAGCAAATCGTGAACTATGTCACCTCTTGAGTGGCCCGCTTTGCCGGCGAGAGATGCAGGACCTGCGTGCATTTGAACGAAGCCTGCGAAGGAATAAGAGAACATCGTTCATCAAGGCAATTGACGTACTCTCTGATGTTCCGGAGACAGCACCGTGGAATATAATCCAATTGTATGCCATGGTGGGCAACAAAAATGTCAAGTCGATACAATTATTAGTTTCTAAAGATGGCTTGCTCGGATGCGCATTAAGGAAACTCATCCAACAGACCCTATCTCACTTACGAGATCACGTTTGGAGAAGGACATGTGACTGGAGATCCACCGAAAACTGCTTGAAGTGGGGGGCTGACCCCAATATCGTTTTGAAGATGGCTCTTCTTTGATGGGCGAGGCAATCAAAGCATCCTGGGGGTCAGATGCTCGACAAGAAATGGCGTACCGGCGTGTCAAGCTACTACTTGCCCATGGGGCTGACCCGAATACTGTGGGGTCCCTTTCGGAAATGCATTCGACACTTCATTTGGCATGCCTGCATCATCAACCCAAAATCATGCAGGCATTGCTCGAAGCGGGCGCAGACCCCAACGCAAAAGATGCGCTCGGCCACACCCCCTTGCGTATGTTATTCGAAGAGAAGTTGTTCGAGTCATTTGATCGGGGTATTCTGCTTGATATTCTTCTTGCAGACCCAAGAGTCAAGATCGATGAGCGGGACAATGATGGTTGTACGCCATTGCTTGCTGCGGCTGGTAGATGCCAGGATATGCGGACCGCTCTGAAATTTGCCAAGCACGTTGTTCGCATGCCAGGCGAGGTCGATATCAATTCTCAAGACAATAAGGGGAGAACAGCACTTTGGCTCTGCATTTACTTCAACCTGTATCCTATCACTCGTCTCCTCCTAGCGCAGGCTAGGCTCGATCCCAATCTCGGTCCAACGGATGATTTTCCATTATTGCTTGCTATTCGTCTTTGTGACCCACTGACAGTGAAACGTTTACTAGGATTGAAACGACTCGACGTCAACAAGAAAACTAAAACAGGCAAGACTGCTTTGTTGGAAGCTATTGATGTAGGCAATATGGCAGTCATTAGAATGCTCGCTGAAGCTGGTGCCAACTCGGAAATTGGAATGAGCGAAGGCAAAACAGCGCGGCAGCAGATATTGGCAGCAGATATTGATATCAAATGGGAGACTTGCCCGGTGTGAGTTCAAGGTCAATTGATCTTTTGCTTCATGGGTCGTGATTGATGGGCCGTGAGACAAGCGAAACAGAAGAAAGCGGGTCTCATGTTAGCTAGGTATGCAACAATTCCTTTATTTTATTGAGCTAGCCGGTCTCTGTTCGACGTAAGCCAAGGTGATGTAGCATAGGAGCAACTACTGAAGATAGATACAAATAGACCTCATCTATCCGCTCTCCAGGATAGTCTAGTTCAAGGAGCTTGTCTTCCTCTTAAATTTGACACTGTAGTCTTCGATTAGTAGGAGATGGTCGTATGTATTGGGATCATGGTCAAGAAGACCTTGGTTTTAACACAGACAATGAGATGTCAAGCTCAAATCGAGGTGGGCTGGGCAGCCGCTGAGTCAGCTAGAGCACGGCCAGCCCTGGAGGGAAAAGAACCATCCATAGGCGATTGCTTTGGTGAATTAATATTAATTTAAGAAGTTAATTCTCACCAGATCCCTATATAAAGGGATCATCATCAAGCTGAATTATCTCAGGTCGACCCTATTGCGGGCCCGACTAACAACTCCGCGGGTCCAACCGTTGACACAGATTCGTGCCCCTCCTCGATTTTCTCTTCTTCCACTCCCAACCCCTCCACGAACATACACCATGGCGACGGCAGCAGCTCCCGAGACCTCTCTCCTCTCCCTTCTCTACCGGTCGTATCCCGCCGTAATCTCTTCCGATTCGACCGAGCCCGACTACCTCCACGCCTCGGCCAAGATCTTCCCTCAGGTCACCTTCAATGAGGCAGAGGAAGCCGACATCAAGCAATGGCTTAACACCGTCTCCGGCCTGAAGACTTCTCTCGCCAATGACCAAAAGGATGTCACCGCTGGAATCCTCGACCAGCTGAATATCCACCTCGCCACCCGCACCACCCTCCTCGGCGCGAAGCCCTCGGTCGCCGACATTGCCATCTATGCTCTCCTGGCCCCGGTCGTTGAGAAATGGACCCCCGAAGAGCGCACCGGAGAAAAGGGCTACCACCATATTGTGCGTCACATTGACTTCGTGCAGAACGGCCGTCTATTCTTGCTCCAAATCCCTGAGGAGGAGAAGATCGCCATCGACGTGAACGACGTCAAGTTCGTGCCCAAGCCCGTCGACCCCAAGGAAGAGAAAGAGCGCAAGAAGCGCGAGAAAGCCAGCGCCCAGAACCCTGACGCCAACAGCGAGTCCAAGCCCCTCGTTGTCGGCCAAGGCAAGGCCGAGCAAGCCGCCAAAGCCCAGACCCAGGCCGGCGCCGACGGCGCCCCCGTGAAAACCAACAAGAAGGAAAAGAAGGAGAAGAAAGAGAAGGCTCCCAAGCCCGCTCCTGCCCCCGCTGCGCCCCCAGCCCCATCACTGATTGATCTGCGCGTCGGACACATCCTGCGTGCGGTCAACCACCCCAACGCGGACTCGCTGTACGTGTCCACGATCGACTGCGGTGACGCTCCGGGCAGCGACAACACCTCTCTCGACGAGGAGACCGGCAAGACCGTGCGGACTGTGTGCTCCGGATTGAACGGACTGATCCCGCTGGAGGAGATGCAGGGCCGCAAGATCGTTGCTGTGTGCAACCTGAAGCCTGTGACCATGCGTGGCGTCAAGTCTTGCGCGATGGTTCTCGCTGCGTCCCCGCGTGTTGCGGAGGGTGAGGACTCGCACGCCGGTCCTGTCGAGCTCGTTAACCCGCCTGCTGATGCTCCTGCCGGTGAGCGGATTAGCTTCGAGGGCTGGAACGATGGCCAGCCTGAGAAGCAGCTTAACCCTAAGAAGAAGGTCTGGGAGACTTTCCAGCCGGGTTTCACTACCACTGCGGACCGTGAGGTTGCCTTTGACAGCAGTGCTGTTCCGTCTGTCCATGGACAGGAGGGCAAGCCTGCTCTTGGAAAGCTGGTCGCTGCCTCTGGTGGTATCTGTACTGTCAAGAGCTTGACTAATGCTACTGTGCGGTAAGGGATGTGAAGATGTTCGCTATATCTGAAAATAAAACTAAAACGCATACCCATGAGAATATGAAGAAATCAAAATTTCCAATTTCCGTATTATTGTATTTTAATGGAATTTCTTCCTCTCTGCATCGCTACCAACACTTGAAAAAGTGGAAATATGGATTTGATTTTTCTGATCTGTACATTGTCACGCAGCTTCAGGAGCTGATAGATCTTAGCTTTGCTTAAGCAGGCGCAGCGAATCCCAAAGAAGGCCCGCGTTTGTCAAAGACCACAAACAAGGCCTTCAAGAACACATCGCCATAGATCGCCATGCTTGAGCTTCCGCTCGACTGAAGGCCGCCATAGCACACTATCGAAAAGCGAAGGTTAGCTCAGAACATTGAACGGATGAAGAAAGGGGAAGACTCACCTGTTTCACCAGTAGTCGTGTTGGTTCCAACCTCGGACCAGTTCATGAACGATCCAGGGATGGTAGCCGAATGGCCAGACCCGACCGCAACGGATAGGCTGGGCAAGCTTGAAGTGCATGGGAAAATATACCCGTTGGCATTCTTGGCGTATAGACCACCGTCAACTTGCTTATAATACGCTTCCGCAACCTCAGGGCTAACCATCATGAGCGAGGTGCCAGTGTCGGCAATGGCCTGGGGTGCCTGAGTGATCGGGTGAAAGGGGCCTTCTCCTATGGCGTATTGTGCCGATTCGAACTCCCAGAATCCATTCGATGAATCCACACTGACATTGGCCATGACGCCTCGATACTTTTTCGGGTCAACGGTTCCAAATTCATATTCACCGACGCCGTTGCTGAGAAGTCGAACGGTGAAGACTGGCTCGTCAAGGTTGGGGGCAACATTGTCGAAGAACGTATTCTGTCGCTCTGGTGTGACAGTGTTGATTGAAGAAAAGCCAAGACCGACGAGTCCGTTAGACTTGGTGTCGTCGGCAAATGTCTGCGAAATATCCGTTGGAAGGCCGAAAGATTGCCCGGCGACTTTGACACCACCAATCGAGACAACATCCTTGCCTACGCCCCCATTGGCATAGGACGAGTCCCCGTACCGGATCTCGAATGTGCTGTCTTTGAGTTCTTCAAAGGTGGCGGACTTGCTCGGTTCGTACACTGTTCGGCTGTTTCGCAGTGACTTTGGAAGTCTCGAGCTCAACACCCACCTATATGGCAATTGGTTAGTTCGGACTATTCATTTCGTGAGCTGGAACATGGAAAGAAGTTGCTGGCCAATCTTCCAAAGAAAAAGCAGATCAGGAAACTTACATATCAGCAGAGCCGCTGTCAAAGTTCATATCAAGGGTTTGGCCTCCGATATTGACCGGCGAGACAAATTCCACGTCTCCATCAACAGAAGTGGCATCCACGGCGCCCGTCTGTTCAGAATCCCCAATATCTTCCTTTGCAGCTCTCACAGACGTGGTATGCTTGATTTCAAAAGGCTGGAAGTCGCTCACATCAACCCCATTGAGGGTTGCTGTATCAATTCCGAACTTGCGGTATGCTCTGCGCAGTGCCGCGGGTCCGTGGGCAACGTGGTCATTGCGCTTGACTCTCTCTACCTTGAAGGACCGGCCTTGAAGGTGATTCAGAGAATCCACGGGCAGGGACAGAGCATTGAAGCTCAACGAAAAGAAGACAGCGAGGAAAAGAATGAATTGCATCTTGCCCCAAGCCCAAATTTGGGATATCAAAATTGAAAAAAAGAGTGATTAGATCAGGGCCAGCCTGAGGATTTGATATTAAAGAATGCAATGGACAAGAAAAGCAAGGATGAAGACAAGACAAAACAGAAAAGAAGGTGACTTCTCAGCAGCTCCCTAGATCTGTAAAGGCAGGCTTGTTCTGAATGAATGGAAAGACAATGCCAATGTCTCAAAATGAAAGCCAGCAGGTAGTAGTCCTGACTCGAATACCTGCAGCCAAGAATAGAAAAGAAAGAAAAGAGAACAAAACAATATGAACGATGTGGACAATGCAGAGAAGAAAAGAAGAAGAAGACAAAAGGAAAAGGACAATATCAATATCAATATCAACAAAACAAACCAAACCAAACAAAACAAAACCAAGACAAAGTGAAACTTCATAGGAGTAAACAACCCCAAAGGCAAGAACGACCCGAAAGCAGTACGTATATTGTAGTGCAAGCGTTTCTTTCTGAGTACTTGGCATTCCAACACCCACCTATCGGAGGCAAGTGCTGCACTGAAAAGCCCTTGGCCAAAGCTGGGCATGCTTCACAGTAGACGCCATCAGTCCCAGACCAGAACGACGTATACTCCGGTGGACCCGGGGATGCGTCAGGTCAAGGTAAGGGGCTCGGGAGTACGCCGAATAGGATAGTACGGTGCACGGGAGTACGGAGTACATAGATGATATCTATATACGGAGTATCCTGCTACTCCGTAATTTGTCTGTTACGCGACGTCTTAGATAAGTGGGGGGATTGTCCTGGGCGCGTGGGTTTGACACTTGAGACCTTAGGGCCTGTTGGAGCTGGGATGTCGTTGGTCGAACCTGAAACAAGGGCAAGCGGGTAGGGACCCAATCATGCAGGCTATACGACGTACTTGAAACATATCGGAGAGGTTATAGGTTGTAAAGATCTCCATTGTGACATGTGAAGTGTGGCTTTCTTTTTTATTTGCTCTGGCTTTGCTTCTATCGTTGCCTATTGGAACAATGGCATTGCATTATGGACATAGAACAATGGCATCTTCGCTTCATACTGATCTTCGGGCGATCAAACTGTTTATTGTGACCAATGTTAATCAGATATCTGATCATAAATTCCGTGTAATTAGTTTTATAGTGTAGGGGACGCAAGCCTTGTAGACAAAAGAAACCACATAGATATGTGTTTCTTTAAAGCGTGGCATTTGGCTACATATACACTTACATATTTTCTAAGAACCACTTATGACCTTACACGGTCTATAAAAGTTTGATCGGAGCCGTGAACAAAAGACGAGGGAAATCGCGGAACCTTAGCCACTAGCTTTAGAATACCACCCCAAACCAAGACGGCATCAATATGAGTGGCAAAGACCTACTAGTGTTTGGCATTGGAATGGCTCGGAACAGAAAGAAGGCTTGGGGGTACATCTACATGCCGAGCAGCCAAGAAAGCAAGTACCTACGTAGCTTCTTCGTACAATATCTCGCTAGAGTACCATGGACACACAAATAAGAGATGCGATTGAACTTGATAGTTATGTAAATCAACATCATATGTCATAACTCTCCGGGAGTGCTCAAAATGGTAATAAAAGAAATAAAGAGCCAAGAGAAGAGATGAAAGGAGAGTGAAAATGAAAGCATTTTAAGTGCATAATGGTCTATACTCGCACACCGCGAGAGACCCCCAAGGATATCGATTTCAAACAGAAACAACTCCGCATCCCACGGTTTCGCTACCAGACCCAACCAACCACATACCAGTGGCAAGGAAGCGTTGTTCACCAACCCCCAAATTCCATGTACAGAGAAACAATCCATAAAAGATGAGTAAAGTAGAAGGTAACCAAGCAATAAAAAAAACCCAAGATATTCAACAGTGCCAAGCAATGCAGACGTGTATCGTTTCCGCCTCTAGATCCTTGAAAATGATGTCCATTCCCGCCCCGGTAATAAAAAAAAACCCAAACAAAGAGATCGTAGAAAGAAAATAAAGCGCCACAGCGTAAGTGTATCTGGCAAAGTCGTTTGCACGCGAAACCCTCCCAGAAAAAAAGGTAAAATCAACTCCAAAGGTCATGAACATGCAACGTCAAGTAGCAATGTCACTGCACGTGTGTTCTGTACATCATCGGTGGCCCGACCGGAAAAAAGAAACATAGGCCGAAGAAAGTATTCGTCCCTCCCTGAGAGACTAAAGAGGTATCGTAGGAAAAGGATGCAAGGTATTGAATCGCAGGCGCCGTCGCTCGCAACAAGCCAAGAGTATCGCAAAGGATCTAGAATATGAGGCAAAGGTGGTCGTAATCGGCGAAGAGGAGAAGGTATGTACAGGTCGTTTTTTGTTTTCGAATTTTTGATGATTTTTTTTGTCGCCGTCTTCGTGGAACAAATATTTTTCCAGGTTGTGTTGTGTCGAATGCAATAGACGTATCGAACAAGAATGCAAGTGGAGGAAAAAGAAAACATTATGACCTGCGATTAAGGGACCCCGGTGATGCAGAACAGCTTAAGTAATGGACGTGCAATGGACGAATGGAGATGTAGGGTGCCAGCCCACGACTTTGGCGGATGGCACCCTTACCATCGACGCTGAGCAGTCTGCATCATCGCGGGCGAGATCGATGAAGGTGGGCTCGACAGGGTCATTCCGGTCGAGGGATTGACAATCGGAATGACCTTGCGGGTCCGGTTCGCAGGCTGCTGCTGGTAGTTGACATGATTAGGGTTGCCGGCAACACCAGGGTGGACGTATGAGTTTGTTTGAGCGGGGGACAAAGAGATGGACGGGGTCACCTGCTGCACCGGTTGGATTTGGTGCTGCAAAGGCGAGGTGTCCGGTGAGCCGCTGGAGAGAGAGGAGCGGTCGGAAGCCGAGTGGATGGAGTGCAGCTACAAAACATGTCAACAAAGATTGGCCTCCCTAATGGTATATCCGCATTGAGATTTGTAGCGATCTTCAAGGGGGTGACGGATAAGGGATTTGAACGCCAATCATAACATACATCATCCTCAGTCAGGAGACCCGGACAGAACTCGAGGTCGTCATCCAGATCAAAGGACCGACCAGCCTCGAATCTTGCACGGAAGGCTGTCACAGCCGGAGCTTCCGCCAATTCCCGCATACTCTTGACTCCTCGGAACTGACGCTGAGCATTCTGCGAGGCCATCTTTGGGGCACGACGAGAGCGGCCGTGGTGGGTATTTGATGCAGATTGCATATGAGCACCATGGTGAGGGTGTTGCTGGTGTTGCTGGTGTTGCTGGTAGAAGTAGGCAGACATTGTGTGAGAAGCCAGCACTCGAAATCGAGAAGATGAGAGAAGATAAGTAGAAAGTTACAAAAAAGAAAAATATAGAAAATATAGGAAAGATCGATGGGATTGAAAGAGGAAAGGAGGATTAATGAGAATGAGAGTGTGTGGGAAGAGGCGAAGGGAAAAAGAGGGGAGGGGTGTGTTATGGGGACGATGGTATGGTTACTGTTATTACCATATATTACCATTTAAGGGAGTTGATTGGGTGTTCGATATGGATAATTACAGTTACGTACTGTCAGCTATGAAAAGGCACTTACATCGACGCACCAACCAGACGAAAGCGCTAACAAAGTGGCAATAGCCTCACAACCAATGATAACTCGCAGATCCTCTGAAAATGGACCTTCAACGGCCCACCAAAATACTAAGTGAAAAACGTGACGTCGTCGACAATTAGAACGTTACCCGATCAGGAAGATCTCTTAGTGATGACCTACATACCAACCTTGGAAGGGCATCAGGAGAACTCTCGGTAGGATTGCCCTAGGACAATGAGAATTGTCACATAGTGCCTCCATTTTATTTTACTAGATCCGCCATTGCCGAAATTGCCGACTTTTATAATATACAAATGATGCATCATCAACTGAAAATGCAGTGAAGCTGTCCGGAAGACTGAAACCCCATACATAGCGTTCTTCATAGGGGCTGGGGTAAGCTGAAATTTTTCTCAGCCCTTCGGGTCCCCTTAGCTGCAGGCTGCGCAGGACATGGCTTTTGCCCAGGTACGGAGCACATTCCCCTCCATTCCCCCTATAGGGTGCCCGAATCGGCAGTGGCTGATCTTGCTTTGATCGGCCCCCCCGTACGAATTCCCCAATCCTTCGACACGCAGCGCAAAAATTCGAGAAGTAAAAACCTTGTTGGTCTCGAGACACACCCACAGCACTAGCTGCAGATGAACCCGCCTATTATTGGCAGGGGACCTTGAGATCCGACCTTATCAACTCCCACCCTTCCAAATCGGAGTTCATCAATGCGGAATCCGGACTAGGGCGAGGGCCTTAGGCGCCGACTCACTTTTTCGCTGAGTAGCATTGCCTACCCGTGACTCACTGCATATCCATGCGACCGAATAAAAATAAACTGTGAGTTCCCACTATTCAACGTGTGGTATATTTTAGGTCTGGGAGCTATTTCCGTATATTTAATTTATTTTGGTCCTTTGTCCCTGATTGGGATACGCCCTGGACCTGGGAAATGCTCTCTCGGTGCCTACTGGAACGTAACCCTGTTACATGATGTGCCGAGCTTCCATCTTCCACCAGTGATAACTTCCATTCTATTACACGGTGCCGAAAAGGATCAAGCCCAAACTCTACTAGAGACAACGTACCACCGTATGCTCCCCAGTTTTCGGCTTCACCGCCCCTTTGGCCATTTGGAACAGAATCTCACGAGGCGTAGTGGCACGCACCTGCCGAGATCGGATATATCACATATTGTGTAAACGTTGCCCCGAAGCTTGGATTATGCAGCAGCTGATCTATCCAGCGTCTATGCACGGTGCATGATTTGGTGTCTGCGTGAGATCGCGGGGTCCGAATGCGAGAAATATGTAATTCAGCGAGGGGCTACCTAAGTATTATCCTGCGATCCGATCCCCAGATACACAGCGCAAGGGACTTGTAAACACGAGCTTCAACTATTCTAATCGCCCCGGTTGAATTGCAAATATGTGATATTTACTACATCGTGGCAAATGTTTCTGTGCTCCGAGTCGGAAGGTGGTTTCAGACTTTGGGCGATATTGAAATCGCGATTTGTGGAGTTGAGGCCATCCTTCCAAGGTTGTTGCACAACATGACAGCATACAGCAACAAACAGATAAGTCTAGATTCCCATTCTTTAAACATTATTTTGGTTGAGTTTATCTTTATTCAAGTTGAATACTTCTTACCTACACACATCATATGTATGTAGAGTAGTGCCTCTGATAAGATGGGATTCAACTGTCGAAGGTAAAGTGCATGTCTCCAAGGTTATACCTAAACAGTAGTATTTCTATACATGTACTCACTGTGGCAAGTTAATCTCTTTATGCAGAGTTTAATGAAAGCTAGCAGCTGATATTTGGAATGCAGGCCTTCGAAGGGCCCTCATATTCTGCATGGCCGGCAGTGTCGAAGTAGCAGTGTCCGACTTCTTCTCAGTTCAACCTCGACAAAGTAGCACGATGTAAGACAATGTAGGACAACCAGTTCAAATACTCTATAGTAGGCAGATATAAAAGACTCAATTATGTCTCTGATTGTCTGTTGCTCAACCCTTCTAAAGTGGGTTACCCATTTCCTTGCATCCCTCCAGTTCTCTTATCTTTCATACAAGCTTGTTGCCGGAACACCATGGCGGCGCAATCTTCGGAAAATGCCCAAATCCCCGAGAAATCACAAAGCAATGTACTAGTCGTGGGTGCAGGCCCAGTTGGGCTTGCTATCGCCCTGAGACTTGCGCTAGCTGGTATCGTGGTCGATGTGGTAGAGAAGGAGTCAAAGCTAGGCGAGGAACCTCGTGCTGTGGCTTATTACGCGAGCGCACTGATTGCCTTGGATAAGATGGGGGTGATACCGGATATGGAGAAGGCAGGGTTTGTTTCTGAGGGGTTTTGTTGGCGTAAGCCAATCCGTGCCGATGGCCAGGGAGGCTTCGCGATGGGTGACGTGATCGCTTGTTTGCCTATTCCTCGAGATATGAAAGAGTCCCATGGTGTTGGTGGGATCTTGTATCTACCGCAGCCAGAGCTGACCAAACTGTTATTCGAGAAGGCAGCCGCAACTGGCTTGGTCACTGTGCATTTTGAAGAAACCCTCATCAGAATTGACCAAAATGCGTTAGGTGTCAGAGCCACGACCAGGAGAGGTGATACAGAGACAGCATTCCAAACATCCTATCTGGTGGGTGCTGATGGCGGCCAGTCGGCTACCAGGAGGCTGTTGGGTATTCCTCTAAAAGGACACAGCTGGCCAGAGAAACTAATGTCCATCGATTTTCTATTCGAGGATCCAGATCTCGACGCCAAGTTCCCAAGTCAGTTCATTGTACACCCGATATCCTGGGGCATTGTCACTCCGTTAAAACCCGTCGAGGCTGGAAAGCGGACCCTATACCGGTGTGCTGTTAGCTTGGACCCAGAAGACCAGACCCCAGTTGATGAAATGAATTCAACAGCTCATGTCATTTCACTTCTGGAGAAAATGCTTCCTGGCCCTAGGCCAATCAACGCAGAAGTAATCAAGTCTTCTCTCTATCGAATCCACCAATTGTGTGCTTCTACTTTCAGAAGGGGAAGATGTGTGCTCGCGGGAGATGCAGCTCATCTTAACAATGTTAGTTCTTTACCCCATTTATGATATGCCTTTGATACTCACTCCATCACTACTAGCCCATGGGTGGTATGGGACTTTCAACAGGCCTGATTGACTCCGAAGCCCTATGCGATATCCTCGAGATGATTATTCTTGAAGGGAAGTCGTCTGACCTGCTTGATATATATGCGAACGAGAGAGCAAAAGCATTTCAGATGTTTGTTGACCCTCAAAGTACGCAGAATAAACTTCGAGTCCAAAGTGACCCTGAATTAGCCCACGAAAATTGGTTGCTCCGGCAGCTGAATAGCACATCTCCCAAGTTTTTGGAAGAGTTCGGGTTGCCATTTTTCCAACAGTGGAGGGTGGATATGAAGGAAGTAGTCTCACGGATATCGTAGTGTTCTTTTGCTGTTCCCAAATCTATCCATTGCCACACATCGCAACGCTTGTCTTCAGCCCAAAGGCTGAATCCTGCTATAACTATTACCGTCGATAACTTTTTGACTTGGGAGCTTATTACCAGTCATACCTTGCTAGGTAGATGGACAGTAAGAAGTGTGCACAAAAAGAAGGGGATAGGAAACTGGTCAAAACTAGATCAGACATGCGTGGATCAGCTGCCTATCTGGAATGTTAAGAGACCGATATACGAAGGATATTTAAGTACAAGATGGGGGAACGGCATCACTTGTCCAAGTTCTTGCTCTTCACCATCCTCCCAAGCAACTCTTTGCAGTTCTTCTCGCTATATTGCTCCCAGACCTCGTACAACGAGACCAACTCTTGAGTACATTCGATGACAGCTTTGATATCGACTTCGCTTTCCGCAAGCCAGCCGACAAGCTTCTGAATTTTAGGAGGAGGGCTGGATCCAGTTTTGTCCGATAAAGCAGCCAGCATCTGCATGCCGCCCCCATCTCTCATAGAGCCTGCCAAAGCCGATTGTCCGGTTCCAGGGTAGGTGGATGGGTGGGCAGGCTTGAATACAACAGCGACGATGATTGCCATGATCGCAATGACATGAGGTGGGTGTAGAAGTGGTAGGTCTGTCAGATAATGATCGTTGATAACAGACCAGGCGAGAGCGATTTCATCCGAGGTGAGTGATAGTTCGGCTTGAAGTTCGGACAAAGTCCGATAAGGATGATGCACGATGAGTTGTGAGCTCAGTTCAGATATTAAGGCAAACTCGCATTCTCCGAGCTTTGCCACATCCGGGGTAATAAATTCTGTGAATAATTAATGTCTGGTTTGTTTATGGCTTTATATACGGATACATACCTGGCCACAGACCGCGTGCTTCGCCGACCACAAAGCGGATATGCTGCGGACACTCTTCCATTTTACAGGCGAGATAGAAGGCTGTGGTGAGCACAAGGTATGGGCTTGTCTGTCGAATCTCATTCTTGGTATAGAATCTCTTGAGATACACCTGTGCTGTTGCAATGGCCTGCTGTCTGGTGGACATGCGTTTGCCGAGCTTGATAAGCTCTTAGGATTTGAATTAGCCTAAAGTTAAAATCAAGACAATGGTCATATTGACAAAACCTACGCTGGTTAAAGTAGATATTCAGTAGCCGTTGATCAGGCAGCGGGAACTGCGAATGGGCAACTTTATCCTTCTCCCGTAATCCTTCACGGATATCTGCTAACTTCTCTCTGGAGAATAGCCAGTGTCGACGCTGGGTTGATGCCCAGTAGTTGGCTGCCATATTGAAAGTTCAATGTTTGATGATGCAGCTCATAATCCGACAGCCGAAGACATGGTCCGAAGTCCGGGGAGCTGTATAGCTGACCCCGCAGGTCACGTATTAAAATGAAATGAGGTGCAAAACCAACCCAATGGAAAAATAAAACAAAACAAAACAAAACAATATAATATAATAATAAAAGAATCAACTCATCTAATATGAGGTCAGGTTGCAATCCCAAAAAGGGATAGTAGGGCTTGGCCCTGGTCCCGTGCGAGATAATCCGATGGCGTCAAAAGCCCTTCGAAGGTTGGGTCAATGGCTGGGCGCCTATTAATCAGTTTATCCATTCATATTCACCTGGGCATAACTTTTACCTCACGTCATCCTTTTATGTCCCCCTCGATCTTCTTCCCCTCAACTGCTAGGGGTCTTGGATTTTCAAACCCCTTATAACAACATCCAGAGAAAATAATGGTTGCTCGGTAACAATTTACATCATGGCATCCGAAGAGTCCAAAGATGAACGCGACAAACGAGTCGCTAAACTCTGGGAAACCTTGGACACTCGACGAGAAGGCTACATCGACCTAACTGGGTTAAAGAAGGGGTTAAAGAAAATCGATCATCGTGAGTTTGACCAGGTTCCTTGCTATATATCTGCGCGCTTGCCTAATCTCTTCCTAGCTTTAAAAAATGCAGACGATATGGTACTCAATGTCGTGCGGGAGGTGGACACGAATGGCGACGGACGTATCGACCAAGCTGGTAAGCCCACGAGAGCCACCTATACACCACTCGCGGAAGGCCCTGGCCAATATTTGGTCCAATCCTAATCACCACCAGAATTCCGAGCATTTCTCAACCACACCGAGAACGGACTATGGCAGATGTTCCAGAGCATCGACCGAGATCAAAACGGAGAAATTGACAAGACGGAATTGCGGAATGCCTTTTCACGTTCCGGAGTCACGGTCTCGAACGCCAAGTTGGACCGGTTTTTCGCCGAGGTCGACAAAAACAATGACGGGGTGATCTCTTACACAGAGTGGAGGTATATGCATTCTCACCGGTCAATTGAAGGCTGAATAGTCTGGGCTGACCTATGATTTTTTTTAAGGGATTTCCTTCTATTCCTCCCACTCCAGTCCCCGACCGACCTACACGCAGTTCTTTCGTACTACACAGCTACGGGCAATCTAAACCCGGAAGGAGATGTCAACATCAATGACCTGCAGGGTTTAGGTACAGACCATCCGTTTCTTTCACCTTACATTCTGGCCATCCAACACTTCTTGTACAACATTTGGTCCCTCCCCGCCTTGGCCTCCCTCCTTCCTTCAGCACACGCGCAAACCAGCCATATCTCAAAGTTGGGACCCGTTCTCGAGCATGATTTTGTCTCGTTGGACGGCGACTTGGAGTTGGAGTGGTTGCCACTTCCCCAGACTACCGCCATGCGGATGTTTTTCCGATATTATGGACGGAAGTTGACCGAGAATACCCCTCAACTAGGCTACTTCCTTGCAGGTGGAATTGCGGGTGCCGTTTCGAGGACGGCCACCGCCCCCCTCGATCGTCTCAAAGTTTATCTCATTGCGCAGACTGGCGTCAAATCAACGGTTCAGGCGGCGAAGGAGGGAGCCCCGTTGGCTGCGGCGGGGAACGCTTCTAGAACATTGTTCGACGCTCTCAAGGAATTATGGCGGGCTGGAGGAATACGAAGTTTGTTCGCAGGTTCGTCGTATTGTCTACCTGGACTTGAAGCGGCAACGACTAACTATAAGTAGGGAACGGCTTGAACGTGGTGAAGGTTATGCCAGAGTCTGCGATCAAGTTTGGTGCCTACGAGGTTTGTACTCTTGATATCCGATTTCGCTACACGAGACGAATGCTGACCCGAGAATAGTCTGCGAAACGAGCGTTTGCGCAGCTCGAAGGACATAACGATCCCAAGCGACTCCTTCCCACTTCACAGTTTTTGTCCGGTGGGTTTGGTGGAATGGTTGCCCAGTAGGTCTTCTGTAATCATTGATGGGAGGGAAATTGGTTCTGACTGTGACTAGATGCTTTGTCTACCCCCTCGATACCCTAAAATTGTGAGTATTCGATTCAAGTGAGTTTTTAGAGCATTGTCGCTTACAATTATCGATAGTCGCATGCAGTGTGAAACCGTGAAAGACGGCCCGAAAGGCAATCAACTCATCGCAGCTACCGCAAAAAAGGTTTGGAGCAAAAATGGCTTCGTCGGCTTCTTCCGAGGACTCCCGCTTGGCCTTGTGGGCATGTTCCCCTACGCCGCAATCGATCTATCGACATTTGAATACCTCAAACGGACACTTCTAGCTAAAAAGGCTCGTGACTGTGGCTGTCATGAGGATGACGTACCCCTCGGCAACTTCGCAACAGGTGCAATTGGTGCTATGAGTGGAGGATTCAGCGCCTCGATTGTCTACCCCCTCAATGTTCTCCGGACTCGACTTCAAACTCAGGGCACGATCATGCACCCGCCTACATACACAGGGATTGGCGAGGTCCTAAGCATCACACTCAAGACTGAGGGACCCCGTGGCCTTTACAAAGGTCTCACACCTAACCTTCTCAAAGTGGCACCGGCCATGTCAATCAGCTACGTGGTCTACGAGAACTCGAAACGCATGCTTGGCCTACGATGATTTGCCGAACGAGCCCTCACTTCCTTGCCTACCCCCGCAGACACCACCCAGCCATTTGCGTGCATTTGCGACCTTCGTCCTGGCACATCCATTCCAGTGCCATCGGGTCGATATTTGCTATTTACTGGCTTGACATTTAAAAGCGTTGCCCCCAAGATACCCACAGAAGCCATTGACAGGCACGGCACACCCCCTCGCTCATGGGTGCATCTCAAATGCACCCCCATTCTCATTTTTGATCTCTTCGCCATATTCCCGGGATATTACACTTGGTTTTTTTTTCTTTTTTTTGCATTCACCTTTGGGTGATGTCAGCAAGGCTTCGCTGCAGCTTTTATTTGCTTTCTATTGCCTATGTTGCGCTCAATTGAGGCAACTGTACTTTTGACCAACCTTTGATACAGGGCACTGCGAAACTCACCATCAAACACATCAGCATGGCAAGGCGTCGATACAATACCACGGGACTTTTGATTTCCATTTTGTTTATTACTACAAAGAAATCTACACGTTTGGATAGTACATACTTCGAAACATTTCTTGAATACCATTCTGACTGCTCTTGAATTGCCCAGTTCGCGAATCGCAAACAGACATAACTAAACCACCCTTTCCTGGACCAGACTCCTATTTAGCCGCATGCACAGCCCTAACCTCCTCATCATGAGGAAGAATATCCGGCACAGGCCCTACAGGAGTAATAGCAAACTGATTAATCTGCTTGTGACTTTTAGTATAATGGTACTTGATATGCTCAAAGTCAGTGGTATCCCGGAAAGCAGGAACATCCCAATACAGCCTGCGCAACCAGCGATGAATAGCCGGGAAGCCAGAGCGGATATCTCTCAGATTGCACTTGAAATGTTGCACATAGACCGGGTCAAACCGAACAATGGTGGTGTAGAGTCTGATATCAGCCTCGGTGATCTCGTCGCCGAAGAAATACAGCTTCGAGGCTGCTTGCTGCTTGGCGAGGTGGGCTTCGACCTTATCTAGCGAGGAGAAGAGCGTTGTGACGGCTTTCCCGTAGGCTTCTTGCGTGGTTGCGAAACCAGATTTGTACACGCCATTATTGATGTCGTTGTAGATCCATTCGTTGTAAGCTTCGATCTCGGCTTGTAGAGCGGTGGGGAAGAGGTCGATTTTCTTGTATTGCTCTGGGAGGATATCGTCGAATTCATGGTAAAGCATGCGGATGATTTCGGAGCTCTGGTTTTGTAAGGATTTGGAATTGGAAATGGCTTTCTTTTGGGAAGATTATTTCATACCTCGTTGCTTACGATCAGCTGGGTCTTCTTGTCGAAGAGAACCGGGACAGTGAACCGGCCCGTGTAGTCCGGATCATTCGAGAAGTAGATCTGTCGGAGGTGCGTAAATTCCGGGTGTAGAGGATCAGGAATGGTGTTCTCCCCTGGCAGTTTCTCATCGGGAGTAACAAATCGCCAGCCTAAGAGATGAGTTAGAACAATGCAAACTCCCCACGGTTTATGAAATAGGTCCGACCTTCTGCTCCAAGATGCCAATGTACCGAAGAGAAAGAGATGAAGTCCTCGAGGCCCTTGAGCTTCCGGGTAATCAAAGTCCGGTGAGCTAGTAGATACGTAATTAGTCAAAGGTCAAGTTTCGACTCAATTGGAAGCTTTTTCATACCCCAAGGACAGGCATAAGAGACATAGAGGTGATACCGGCCCTTCTCTGGAGGGAATTGGGCGCCGGTCTCTCTAGATATCCAGTTCCGGAAGACGGATTGCTGACGCTTGAATTCGCCGGACTTGTCGCCGGGTTTCACCCAATCGGTGATACTCATGGAATTTGCGACCTTGAACTATAAGTCAGCATATTCATTCGAGCTATTTTAGCCGACTTGTTTTGTGTTTCTTACAGCCATATTGCGGGAGTAGATGATTGGTAATGTGGGCAACACAAAGCTCTGGTAACCTGCACGAAGAGGCACTGCGCGGAGAATTGGACGTGAAAGATGCTGCAATGGTTGAGATCTCAGCGAAGTAAAGAACATAAGTGGCAGACAAAGCGGAATTCACACTTGTATATATAGGAAAGAATAAATGTCGCCTTTCCGGGGGGTCATGACGTCCATGGGCATGACCAAATGCTGAGTCAGGTCTGCTTATCGGAAGATCGCTCAGCTTTGACAAAGTGATCTAGATGGTCTTGGCAAAGCCCATGATTTGATATTAATTTGTACGCAGGTGGCTTACATTGGTAATCTGCACATATCTGTACCTGTGGAGAGTCTGTGAAGGGTGGAATAATCATGGAATCTAGCTACTGTACTAGCAATATGTAGCCAACAGGCGTTCCGTAGATTCTAATCGTCTCATTTTGCGAGCTTGACCATGACATAGGGAACCTCGACATCCTCTTCTGTTTGGTCCTCGGCTGTGACCTCGAAGATGATATTCTTCTGGTGCTCGGGGACTGGCTTCTTGCTGACGTGCTCCACAAGCTTGCTCATACTGCAAGGTACAATATTAGTAATTTGACACACGCATGGGGCCATGAAAGAGATACTCACGGTAGAGGAAGGCGATCCTTGACCTTCGACGGGGGATAAAAGCTTGCATACAACAAGCTGACTCCAGAGCTGACCATGGTGATGTCCAAGCCCTTCTCGGCGAAGAAGTCGAGGAACTCTTGAAGGGGAATGTCTTCTACCTCGAATCGGTCCCAGAGCCTGTCAATTGTGACCTCGCCTTGCTTGCCTTGATACTGGCCCTTTTCGCTACTGATCGGCTCACTGAAGCTAAATAGCGGAAGCGCCAAATTAACGAAGCCGTTCTTGTATTGCTCGATGTCGTCCTTGCCGTCAACAACCTTGTACAGTTCGAGGGCAACAAGACCGGTGGCTAGGGCAGTAGTGGTGGCAATCGCCGGGATGATCTTTCCGGCGATAAATTTGGTCTTGTGTCGATCGGCCTGAGCAATCTCGTAGTTGTCTGCACGGAGGTTGCTGGCCGCGGTGATGAAGTCGATGTGGTAGTTGGTATCATCATCCTTCTCAAACTCAACTGGCTGCAAGCGGAAACCAGCAAGAGACTTTGGCGAGGGAAGAGATGCCACCAATTTCTGGATTTCCTCCTCATCAGTAGACGAACCGGCTGGCTGGGCATTCGGATCAGGGTCGTTTTCATTGGCCTGAATCTTGACATTCGAGCTCGGGGTGAACTCGGGAACGATCATGTCATCGACTACCCTTCGGTAATAGTCCTTGTCCGCACCGGGGTTCTTGATCCCGTAGTTGAACGCATGGAGGTTAGCACCAGCGACAACGAATCCAAGATGAGTTGGATTAGTGCTATCGAACTTCAAGGGTGTAGGGGCACGCTTAGGACCAGACCAGAATAGTTGACCGGATGATGTCTTGGAGTCTCGGGGGAAGTTGTAGAGAAGCTGCTGGATCGCGTTGTTGTACTGCGCTTCAAATTGTTGGCGAGCCCACACAATACAATCGTCGAAAGTTAGAGGCTTTTCAGTGACCAAGAAGTCACGCAGGTGCTCCAAGGTTTGCTTCTCATTACCCGCCTGCTTTAGGGTCTGCTGAATGTAGTCGGATTGCGAGAGGTACATGTTGACTGATTCAGGTGGACCAACGAAGTAGGTTTGGAAGACATCCCGTGCCCATGCAATGGTGTGCTCAATGCGATTCGGGAAACTCTTCAGGGTACACATAGGGAATGACTTCTCGGGGGGATCCTGAGAGCTGGAGTAGGACTCCGTGATGAAAGGAAGGACGACCTGAGTGTTACACTTGGTGCCCAGGGTGCCACTCTCCAGCAATGGCTTGCGGAAGAAGACACAGCGGCGATCAACATATGTCCGTGCGTCGACGTTGTCCAAAGCGTTTGTCACACCGTCGAGGCCGTTCCAGAAATCCTCATTGAAGATGTGTTCAGTGTCGGCACCGACGCGATCACGGAGAGTGACAATCTTATCTTTCAATTCTGGGTTCATTGCTTGCGCGGCCGCAGACGCGCATTCACTCTTGAGTCTGCCAACGTCCTTAGAACGGAAGAGGAATTGGCGGTTAAGATTGCTCTTCTCGATCTGATCCATATCGGTGACGTAAAGTTTTCCTTTGGGACCAGTACCTAGACCCATCATGGCCCAGTTCTTCAGCGTCTCACAACCGATAGCACCAGAACCGACTAAGAATTGACTGACATTGGCAAGTTTGTCTTGGTATTCCTTGCCAAACACCGCAATTTGACCGTCGTAGCGGGTACCAAGAGGCTTGCAGCTCTCTTCGGATCGAGTGACTGATGAAGGCAAGGACTCCAAAGAGTCAAAGTACAGCCACTGATGCACAGGACTGAACTTGCCGGAGACAGCCTTCAGAACTTCCTGGGCGGCGATGCCACCAAAGAAAGCTGCTAACGGATTCAGATCACCGCGGGCCTGGTAGCTCAGTTCTTTGATTATCTTCTCATCCAGGTCAACTTTTTCTTCACCGGCCGCAGCAAGATCGTTAGAAATCTTCAGAACCTCCTGGGCATCGCTATCATTGTGGGGACGAGGCAGCTGGCCATCATGAGTCTCCGCAAACTTATGAAGAGCCTGGATACCAATATGCAATTGTTGTGGCCGGTCAAACTTGGCAAAGTCGGACAGGAGAACCTCCGGGTTTTTAAGTTGATCCTCCAGTGGCTGGAAATCAATGAACTTCGGCATCTTGACTTGAGTGAATAGACCACCACCTTGGTAGGATCCTAGACCAGAGACGTCGCCAATAGTGAAAGTATAGGGACCTTTCACAGTGACCTTGCGAGGATCACTGTTGTTTAAGCCATCCATACCCTTGACTTCAGTGAAAGTGACAAAGTCACCATCCTGGAGTCCATGTCTTGTCTCATCGAGCGCCGAGACCAACCCTTCCTCGTCGATATCCGCCACAATTCCACTAGCAGGCTCTTCACCGTTGGGATCACCCACAGTGAAGTTCTTTCCAAAGTCATTGAAGATATAACCAAAGAGACCGAATGTATCTGTAATTGTGAGGTAGATTTTGTTCTTGTGGCAGAAGTCGGCAATCACCAGTTGCTCCTTCAAAGGCGTCTGTGTGAGAACCACTGCCTGGTAGCGCTTTAGTTGTTCGAGATCACCCACGAGGCTCTCGCCCTCGTGGAGTGTAACGGGAACGTAGGAGTTCAACTCGGCGACTCTAGGGGCTGTAACCTCAGCACGGGGCTTGCCGACGTCCTCTGGCTGAATGAAAAACTGCGAAGAAAGATCCGAGATAGCGACTGGGGCGGGGTCGTATAGGGTGAGGGATTTAACACCGGCGAGGGCAATGTTCTTGGCTATAGAGATAATTAGATGCTGGGATGAAAGCAAGGTCTGGTTAATAGTTGAGCCACATACCGATTTCCACGCCCAAGCCCTTGAGACCCACAATCAGAACATTGGAAGAGCCCATTCGCTTCATGGCCTCGTGACCAAGAACGTATCTCCAAGGTGTCAGTACATATCGGAATTTGAATGTCATAGAGGGATGCGGGGGGCTTACAGCTGCCGACTATACAATGATTCGTCGATATCCCCATGTTTGATCGCTTCGATGGTTTCTTGGGGGTTCTCGACCTGCATCTTGACGTCCTTTGGTGAAACATATTAGTGGCAAATCTTATCTCTAAGATCAAGACTAGCCATACCGTCATGGTTCTTTTCTCTGGCCGAGCTCCGACGTCGTCTTCAGAGGCTCTGCGCTTTCCGGGCTTAGCCGCGTCTCGAACAGGAATGTTTGAAGGAATGATGAAAGTCAGGAGGTGAAAGCCTTGCGATAGAGCAAGTCTTTCAATAGTGATGATAAATCAAGTTGCAACGCCTAGCGTACCAGGTACCTAGCTCAACGAGCACGGAGAAGAGTAGCAATCCGAACGCAATCGACGGATAATAGAGGATTATAGAAGAGAAGGAAAATGGAACGCCACTTTGTGAGGTGGGAGGTGCAAATAAGTAAAGGACAAGTGACAAGTCAGTACAAAGTAGGAGAGAGTCAAGAGAGGGACACCGACGTAAGAGGGGGGACAGCTAAGAGATGACTAACGGGCGGTGAGAGGGCGATTGGTCTTTAGCCCCGCCATACTTCAATAGGAGCTATTGTGCTCGAGCCATAGAAGCGTCTGTTAAGAGTTGGGAGCTGTGACACATCTGGATAAGATCGGGGTCGAATCTGGAGAATGACAACCAGCCCTGTCTTCTCCGATTGGTTCTGAAGCCTGCCTATTCCATACGCCACGTTTGACGCGTCTCGGCATCAACGCGAAGCTTGGCACCGTCAAAACGTCATATGTGTCGCTTTGAATTCGTGGGGCGCGGTCTATTATACTGGCAGCGCAAGAACTGTCCAGCGGAGAGAAGACAGTTCTCTAGGTGAGTCTTTCTGCATATACGCCTCGCCTGTGATGAGCTCGTAATTGATATGGACCGATAGGGAACTCTCGTCAGAATGCTCCATGAGATCCTACTCTCCCTCTCCGGCCAGCCATCCCCCCTCTTCAGTACCCAAAAAGGGGAAAATGCTGTCACTCAAGATGATTTTCCCCTTTCACCTCCGGAGAAAGCCCTCCTCGCCTCCGTTGCCCATCTGAGTCGGCTCCACGCGCAGCTGCGGAAATATGCCTCCGATATATCCTCCGCCAGCCCATCTGTCGTATGCCGCTCCGTCTCTACAGCTATTGTTGCAACACATCTGGGTGAATTCCAGAAGAAGATCCTGGAGGTTGAGAGGGCAATCCTTGCCGAGGACAGTGGATATGTCGGAGGCTATGGTATTGTCCCATTGTCGACTATCGTGGGAGAGTTTGCACCATGGACGCGGCGCATGGAGTGGCTTTGGGCTGTTATCCGGTTCATTCAACCCGAAAGTAAAAGCACAGAACTCTCGCATGGTTCCACGGGGGCAGCGCTCATAGATCATCTGCGGAACGAAGCTCAAACAGGATATCTTGATATCAAGGAGATGGCCCTACAATTGGCGGCAGCGGCTGAGACAGCATGGATGAAACAGCTTTCGATGTGGTTGCTTTATGGAAATCTTCCTATCTATGGAAAGGAAGACTTTTTCATCCAGGAGGATACTGAAAAAGAGGATGACGAGGCACAATTCAGCATAAACGTCCAATTGCTCCCAAATTTCGTCACGGCACAAACAGCAGGCTCAATACTATTCATTGGCAAGTCCCTCAATCATATTCGGGCGAAACGGAAAACTTCAATAGCAGGAACCTCTACTGCACCGGTGACGTTATATCGGGAGCACATCGAGCAACTTGCGGGCCTGAAATCACCAATTTCGCCTTCAAAATTGACTTCCGCCATTGACTCCATTCGCCTTTCCCTTTCTCAATCGACCTTGTCTAAATTGCTACCCCTCCCGAAAATCCTGGAAATTCTTACTTTGCTTCACAATTTCCTTTTACTAGGACGAGGGGAGTTTGCGGTAGCTCTTGTAGCACATGCAGATTCTCGCATTGAGGAAAGCCGACGCCGAGGACCATCAGCGACCCTTCCACTGGGAAAGCTTGATGTTCTTCCCATCAAAGAAGGTGATGTCACAGCTGCGCTAGCAGAAGCATGGGCAGAGCTTTTCTCGCTACAAAAGGAGGAGGACCCAGCCGACGAAGAGCTTGAACTTGCCCGGGACCTTCTTTGTCTGTCCGTCAGTGGCCGCAAAAGTGGGCGACCGATGATCCCTGCCCAAACTACCATTTCAGTGTCCAAAATCTCAAAAGTCTCATTTGAAGACCTGCTCTTCCCCACACCCACAAACCTTACCGCACATATCCGAGCCCCTCTGGACCTATTTATCTCGAGCTCCGATATTGTCATATATTCTAAGATCCATTCTTATCTCCTGGGAATACGGCGGGCTCAGATTCGGCTTGGAGATCTCTGGAAACGAACTCCGTTGCGGCGAAACCACCCTACACCATGGGGACCACCCAGAAGCAATAGTATCTTTGGCCAAGCTAAGCTGCAGGCAAGGAGAGATAGAGATAATGCTCGTGTTCGCCAAATGCGTCATATCTGGGCCACAGGAAGTGCATGTCTCTTTACGCTTTCCGAGATTGGTAGCTTTTTCCAAGGGGACGTCGTCAATGAGTCATGGCAGCACCTTCGCCAATGGATTGAAGGATGCTCTTCGTCCGCAGCATCAGCCCCTGGATCCCGACCCGGAACCGCGTCCTCTTCTAAATCACATCATAGTTCCAAGACAGTAACTCCCGACCGGAGGCCTGTCAGAGACTTCCCCGAGTCTGGCCAGCAGACCATGGGACGGCATGATCCCGAGGCTCTCACGGTTGCGCACCGGCGGCACTTGTCATCTCTGGTGCAATCCCTCTTTTTGACTGAACTACCCTTCACAAACACCATGAGAGGACTTCTCACAAATATAGACCGCTTCGTCGCCCTTGTGATCCGGTTGGAAACTATCCAACGCAACATGGATCTGGAAACAGATGAAGGCGTGGAAGACGCCTTGGTAGATTATGCCCATGAAGAGCGCGAGGTATGGGAAGAGCTACGCGCCACTCGAAACGATGTCGAGGCAGGTATTAAGAATCTCGTTGGGAGCCTGCGGGACATCGACGATAATCGCTCGGGAGAAGGCCAAGGACCCGTGGAACTAGCAACGGACTTCGGTCGGATGTGGCCTGGTTCCCGCCAAGCTGACAGCACGAGCTCCGGCTTCGACCATTACGTGCCCCATAAATCAGCGGGGGTGGACCGTCTGCTCATGAAACTAGATTTCGGCAGCCTTCGCAGCGGCTTCGGACCCGAGGCAAATGCAGGTTTTGCGGGTATACCATAATGACTGAAGTGGCCCATGGGCCCTAGTTGGTCCTTTATTCTTATTGTCTTCATTTACAAGCACCTTCTGAGCGAGGAATTGGCGTTTTATTTCATGGGTACGGCGTGGTTGGGACAGCTGACAGGAGTCTGGATATAGCATGGATCCTTTTTTCCCTTTCAGTTTATTGCACTTTTGTTTGTGGCGGTCTTAACAAAAGCTATTTCCCGAGAAATCGAATTCGCTTCATTCATTGCTGCGAGATGGGGTCATGTGTCGTCTGTCGGGATTTTCATTTGAAGACCAGCCGCGGAGAGAAGGAATGTGTACACCGTGTCCCCGCAGATCGCGTTGCTTATTTGTTTATGAACAGAAATGTCACATATCCCTTATCTGTACGAAGTACTCCACAAGGGACAGGTGACCCGGATTTAGTGCGTACGCCGTCCCACAGGGTGTTCGAGATCACCTTCGATCCTTTGATAGCCCCTGCCTACTCCGTAGTGGGAATGGGATTGGAAACACGTGTACAATGTAGGGCTTGCGGGACAGGCCCATCATGACTGGCAAAGAGGGTCCCCTACAGCGAGTTCGGGTTCCTTAACCCGACGAAAAGGAATATGGAGCAGACTCGGCTTACATATCATGTGTACATACGTTGTACTTCGTATTGGCACTTGCCTTCCAACGCCTCTAGTTCCCGGTTATAGAGACAGCTTGGTAGAAAGAATGCGCTCAAGTCCCTTGCCAATTACCATAGTGGGTGTAAAAGAAAGACTGAAGGATCTTATTCAGGGCGAAGTATTCGAGAGAGTAGTTGTACAAGCGTCCCTTGGGCATGGGAGTCGGTGTAAGACGTGAGAAAGGGTTACCGGATTAGGAAATCCCGGTCTTGAATGTATGAGATTTCATTAAGCTCATGTGGTCCATTCCCCCCATCCTAAAAATAAAATGAAATATAAAAATTAGACCCAGGACTGGACAATCTGCGTGCCCATGGGGTTTGAGTGGATTCAGGGTGGAACTAGGAGGGTCTGGGGGGTTCCCAAGGGACCCGGGACGCCGAGAAAGGAGAAGACGAGATATTGCATTGACTTGTGATTACGCACAAATTTTCTGTGGAACCTGGAGCTTTTGGACGTCTCGGAATCTTCATGGAATAATATCAAGAAAATAGCAAATGCATTATGCTTCCAACTAGCCGTTGATGCCGAGTGTCTCATTGGGGCCGGCATTCCGCATCTGCACGGGAGCTTTAGCTTCGCGGGATCTTCTGATATTTTCCCTCGCCCCCTCGAACCGGAACAAAACCGGGGATCGGCATGGGAAAAGCAACCGGATTCTGAGCCAATCGCGCTCACAGGCTACCAATTGCGATGGACAATCGTGCATACTGCCGCCGGGTGGGCCATTCCATCGAAGCTCCCATCGAAGTCTTACCCTCTTCAGCCGAAGGTCACGATCTTCCTTCCTAGATAGTAGCGTCACCCCTTTCCCCAGTATTCCCATCTCCATAGCTAATCAGAGCCTCAGTGGCAAGCTTGGGCCTTACCGTGGATGATCTCGGTCAATCGAAGTGCCTGGGTCCGTTGGAGTAATGGTGAAAGCAATTATCCACCGGGTCACGCGCAACTGGAATTAATTTTTTTCTGTCAATCTTTATGCAAGATCTTATTGTCCTCGGCAGGCTCTCCAAGGAAGTACCGTCTCAGCTCTCTAGACATATAAATCTATCATCCCGATGCCATAGATTCAATACCGTGAATTCTTTAGTTGCATCACTCCTTGTTATTTCTTGTTTCAGGGCTGTCGGCATTAATACTACCCCTTCTTCCTTCTGAATAACTCCCACTCTATAGTTAT